TATTGAACAAGGTAAACAGAGAGAGAAAGAGAGTGATTGAGTCAAGTTACTAAGTGTGTCTGTAGGCCAGAAACCAGATGTTCACATATTTTATGGTTTTATTCCTTCTTTCTAAAAAAACGCTTATTACCGATCATGTGAAAGTTACTTTGTTTCTCTCCCTCCCTCAATTTTCTCCCTTCCCTTTCAGGACTGACAAGTACTCTTTAAACAGTAAAATGTCCTCAGAGCTTCAGTCCAGCCTCCCGCAGCTTCTTCCTTTAGGGTCCTGACACTTTGCATCAATTCCTCTTCTAGTATTTCTTGAACTTATGCCTATCGGGTTTTTCTCCCTTCCACTCGAAGGAAATGGCTCTTTCCAAAGTCTCCAGTGACTTCCACATGTTGCCAAATCCAATGCTTAACCTAAGTCTTTATCTCACTGGACCTATGAACAAAAATCCACCCAAATGACCAATTTCTCTTCTTTAAAGTACTTTATTTATTTGGACTCCAATTCTCTTGATTCCTCTACCTCACTCACCACTTTTCCTGTCTCCTTTGTTTATATTCTCCTAGTCTCTAAATGTGTTTCTCTTTTCTATTTGCATATACAGCCCATGTGACCTCATCCTGATGCAGGGCTTTAAATACTATCCGTACACTGATAATACTCACATGTATGCTATTGGGTAAAGGTGGTGTGATTCTTTGATACACACCAGGTTTATATATCCAATTGCCTCCTTCTCATTTGTCCCTGGATATCTACCAGAACCAAAACCAAACCAACCCACTGTCATGGAGTCAATTCCAACTCATAGCAACTCAATTCCTACTCACAGCGAGTTGGAATCCCATTGGGTTTCCAAGGCGGTAAAAACATACGGAAGCAGACGGCCCGGTCTTCCTTCCACGAAGTAGCTGGTGGGTTTGAACCAATCTTCTGGTTAGCAGTCATATGCCTTAGGCACTGCACCGTATCTACCAGGTATCTTAAATTTACATCTAAAATGGAACTTGACTTCCCTCCCAAATCTGGTCCTCTTAAGTCTAATCCCAGCTCAGTATTTTTGATCTCCATCTTTCTAGTTGCTCAGGCCAAAAATCAATGCCATCTCTGAGTCATTCCTCTCTCGCTTTACCATCCATCTATCAACAAATCTTGTTGGGTTTATGTTCAAGATATCCATAATTTGACCATTCCTCACTTGCTTCATCACTTCCACCCAAGTCTCAGCCATCACTAACTCTATCCTGAGCTACTACGGTAGCCTTGTAGTTGGCTTGTAAGTGTCCACCCTTACACAGCTGTAATGGACTTCTAAAAACAGAATACAGATAACAGCATCCTTTTGCTCAAAATTCTCCATTAGCTTCCTATCTCACTTAGAATAAAAAAAAATCTAGTCCCCACCATGGCTATAGGTTGCTTCATGATGCAGGCCTGTATACCTCCATCTCTTACCACTCTTCCCTGGACCATTCCACTCCTGTCACTTTGGTCTCAGTGATGTCCAAGGACAAATACTGTTATTAAGTCTGTATACAATAGCCTAACTCCATTTCTCTTCTGATTTATTTCACTTTAATTCTTTGCTTAAATGTTACTTTATGATAAATGTTGCCTCCCTATGCCACATTCTCTTCTCCTGCATTATATTTCTTCTAAGCACCTATTAGCATGTGAAATATTTATGTATTTCTTTATCCTCTGGTGGCACAGTGGTTAAGGCATTTGGCTACTAACCAAAAGGCTGGCGTTTTGAGTCTACCAACCACTTTGTGGTACAAAGATGAGGAAGTAGTCTGCTTTTGTAAAGCTTTACAGTCTTGGAAACCCTCTAGGAAGTTCTCTCTTCTGCAGGGTCACTTTGAGGCAGAACTGACTTGATGGCAGTAGGTTTGGTTTGTTTGGTTTTTATTGTCTATCTCCTTCAACAAGAAGGTAGAGCAAATGAGAAAATGAGCTTTGCTTTTTTCCTACTATATCCTCAGTGTCTGTGTTGATAGGGCTTAATAAATATTTGTTGAATGAATAAATGAATGAAATGGCAGAGAGATAAAGAGTAGAGTCTAGGCTAAGAGTTATTTCATTTCCTTAATTGGTGCATGGCAAATAATCTCCAATAGGAGAATACACTGCTGGCTAGACAGTGGTAACTACAAGGCAGAAACAAAAAGCACAGCTGAGGAACAAAAAAAAAATAGGATTGTGGTTCTTAAACTGGGTGGAGTAACAATCACTTGGGACGTCTGAAAATACATAGGCCCAAGCCTAACCACCGATGAATCAGATTTAGAAATAAAGGTGAGAACAGGGCAAATGCAATTTTCTAAGTTCACCCAGTGATTCTGATGTCGTTCCTGAGGAAGTGTGTCAAAAGGCATGTGGTAAACTATGCAGTAAAGGGAACAACACTACCACATTCGCTTTTTAAAACCCACATACCTGACTGGGGACTCAAAAATATTTCTGTATTTTGTTTCTTTTTGTCTTCATGTAAAAACACTGCCTAAAAAATGAAATAGACTGGTTTACTAAATCGAAAGGAACAGCATCTGAAACAACCTTAAAATGGTAACCATATCCAAAAAGGATAGCTGAAGCGAGGAACGGAATGGCAAAATTCTGCAAGCAAATTAAAAGGAAGACTCAGATGCAGGGGTACTTCAGAGCTGCCCTGCCATCCCGTTTGCAGTTAAGGCTCAGCACATAGCACCAGGGCCGCAGAAGAAAGAAGCAGTGGGGGCCAGTCAGAAGGAAGGAGCCAGGCCTGCAGCTGTCCCCGCACCTAACCGAGGACCTGGTACAGAGCCACTAGTACTCAGGAAGGGTTTCCTGAGTAAACAGATGACAGAAAAGCTTCCTTCTGCATTTTGAGCTAGATTTACCTGAAAGAATGTGCCAGCTGGTCTCAAAGAGCTAGCTGAAGGAAGGGGTCCAAATACACAATCTGATTTAGACAAACCTAAAGAAAGAAATGAGTACTTTTTGTTCCTACTTTAAATTGGAAGCAATAGCTCTGCTTTCACACATTCAGATGAAGATTTTCTATTAGTATTACAGAAGTTCCATTTGATACAATGTGTGGACAAAACAATGGATTGGAAGAAACAAGATGGAGCAGCATAATTTTTAGACAGGAAGAAGCTGATCATTTTCACTTAACTGGCAGTGAAGGAAATTCACTATACTCTAATGCTCCTATCCCCTTCTTCTTTTACTTTTGTAATATGATGGCTACATCAATGACTGTGTAAATACCATATTCTGAAGAAACCAAGACTGCAGATGAGGCTTCCCTCAGCCTTGCCAGTACCCTGCAGGATACTGGTCTTTTTGATTTGCTGCTGTCCCCATGCCTGCCAGAACCACTGCTCTATTTTTTGAGGACTTCATTAGCAAACAACTTAAAACTTGCTATCAAGATAGAAAGAAGAAGTACATCCAAGACAGAAGAATGCACAGGGCATTCCTTCACTGATTTGTTCTCTTAAAGCAGAGCAAAATGCTAACTTGCTTCATGCTATTGGTAGACACAGACCCTGAGCTCTCATGAAGGATAGCCTACAAAATTAAATCTGATAAAACGAAATGAAATCTTATCTACACTGCAGTTTCCTCATCTATAAAATGGGGATTAATTAGGCCACACTTAGTATCTCCACAAAACTGTTGTGAATATTAAACAAGATAATTCATGCTTTTAAATTAGTTCTCGACCCTTGTAAATGCTCAACATATGCTACCTGTTGCCATTACTTTGATTCTTTTAAATAGATTCTCCTCTTATCATCATAAAAATAACTTATTTTGGTATGTCTCATGTTAGGGCAAAAATGTTTGAATATGAGTTCCTTAGAAGTAATAAACATTGGAGTATTTTAAGGAAATTGTTAAGCAGCACTGACTTTTTTGGGGGGGAATGTTTTTCACAAACACATATAACTGAAGAAGCAACAGAGTTACTGCTTCAGTTTTTGGTTTCTACAAAAAAATAAAAAAATTACTTCCTAAGGATTCTTTTCTGTTCATAAAATTTGATCCACTTTCAGGTTTGTTCTGGAAAGAGTGTAAATTGCTTCATAACTTCTTAAACACATACAAAGTTCCATTACTTTTAAGTGTCAAAAAAAAGTTGCCTCACAATGGACACTCACCCAATTAACAGAAATGGCCCACACATAGCAACTCAGAGAGTCAAGATTTGTTGGTGATTCTGAACTTCTTAATGATAGTTTTTCCTCATTCTATAGTTATACTCACTGTAGAAACTTGATAAAATCCTCCACAAATTCCCCCTGCAGATATAACCATTTTTAACAGTATATTTTCTGGGTGGTGCAAAAGGTTAACAAACTCAGCTGCTAACTGAAGGGGTGGCAGTTCCAGTGCACCCAGAGGCACCTCAGAAGAAAAGTCTAGAAATCTACTTCCAAAAGATCAGCCACCAAGAGGCACAGGAAGCACATGCTATTCTGACCCACATGGGGGTTGCTTTGAACCAGAGCCAACTCGACAGCAGCTGGTGCATTTCTGTCTATTCCTTTGTTATACATGTAGTATGTGTATTTAAAGGACTAGGCAACTGGCACACCTGCATACAAAGTATGGAATCCCAAGGTAACTTCAGTTACTGCCTCATACCTGTCCAGCAGCACTTTGATTTTCAAAGTGCACATGCTGAGCAGTGAGGCTGAAGTTGCAGCTTGTGTTCTAGTCACTTGTCTACATTTTTAGATACCGGGAATGACTAAAAACCTTTCATTCTTAGAACTATCTTAGAAAAATCATGAAAGGACTTTCATAACACTCTAAATAAGACCAAGAATAAGCATTTAAGACATTTAAGAATAAGCTCAGTATCAAAGAGGGGAATTTCAATTTCTTAAAAACAAATCCTACTTTTAAAAAGTATATCTATCTATCTAAAATAATTAAAATAGAAACTATCTCCAAGGAGGAGATTTGCCTTAAGACGTCAGTACGAACATTAAAGTGTAGTGGGTGTCCATACCTGGAGAGCCTTTAAATTGTGGGCATTCTTTTTTAATGTGCCCTTCTCTTCCACAAATAAAACAACGCTTTTCTCTTAAGTCTCTGTCATCCTGTCTCTTCCACTTCTCTACTGGGGGTCTGAGAAGCTTCTCTCTTCCCAGGTCAACAGTGGCCCTCATTGGCTTGGCTTTCTGAGATGTGCACTGCAGGGACTTATCTTCTTTTGCTGGCACCTCCCTTTCTGTGTACTTGTTTTGAATTTCTTTGTCCTCTTTACTTCTTTTTTCTTTGCTCTCAGGGTATCTTTGGTTCGGAGTATCTTCCTGATCTCGCCGTCGCCTTACTCTGTAGAAGATACAATACAAATCAGCCAGATCTAAACAGAAACCTAACAAAATATTACGGTACCTTTCTAAACACAGGAGATAACCACAAAGGGAAAAAGAAGAATTTAACACATCCAAGTTATCTTAGGCATCAAAACAATGTACTGTACTGAGCAAATCAGCTGCAAAAGACTACTTTAAGTGTTTAAGAGCAAAGATGTCACTTTAAAGATTAAGGTATGCCTGACCCAAGCCATCGTCTCTTCAACAGCCTCGTAAACTTGTGAGAGCTGGACAATGAATATGGATGACTGAAGAATTGATGCATTTGTGGTGCTGGTAAGGAATACTGAATGTACCATGCATTGCTAGAAGAACGAAGAAATCTGTCTGGGAGGAAGTACAGCCAGAATGCTCCTTAGAAGCAAGAATGGCAAGATTTCTTCTCTCATACTTTGGTCATGTTGTCAGAAGAGACCAGCTCCTGGAGGATAGATAGCATGCATAGTAAAGTAGAGGGTCAGCAAAAAAGGAGAAGACCTCAATGAGATGGATCAACACAATGGCTGCTGCAACACTGGGCTCAAATATAGCATATGATTATGAGAATGGCAGAAGACTGGGCAGTGTTTTGTTTTGCTGTGCATAGGGCCACTATGAGTCAGAACCGACTTGATGGCACTTAACAAGAAGTCATCTTCTCTATTCAGAAGCTACATCAGAGCTTAAGATGTTGTTTTTCTTTTCTTTTTTTTGTATTCACACAATTGCTCTCACGTTGCAAAACCAAGTTTTTCAATTAGTGGAACTCCTTAATTTAATACCTACACTTTGATACTGCTGCAGTGAAACTCGAATCACCTAAGCTCGGGATGCTTTTGTGAATAACCTTTCTAGTGCATTACCATTTTTTACTAGACACTGGAAATGTGAGATAAGAAACTTTAAGCTCCTTAATGGAACAATAGTTACAAGCACATTTATGTTCTTAAATGTCAAAATCATTTCTTCTTTGCCCCATATGGTCAAGGACTATTACTTGAATCAACATAGAAAGACTACAAGAGAACTTGTCAAATTCCAGATGATGACTTATTCTGGTGAATATGACTTCAAATAAGATACTCCTACGGTAAAAAAAAATCTACTATCACCACCACCACACAAAACAGCAATATCCCCCAAGCAAGCAACCAAAAACGCACCCCCAAAAACTAAGGCCACAAGAAGAAAACATGGTGACCCAACTAGTTGCTATTGTGTAGACTGACTCACGGCAACTCCATGTGTGTCAGAGTAGAACCGTGCTTCATAGGGTTTTTGCTTAATAATTTATTTTGTTGTTGAGAATATACATACAAAATATATACCAAGTCTAATTTCTACATGTACTGAATTTTAGCAACACTGATTATATTCTTCAAGTTGTATAGCCATGCTCATGAGTTGTTCCTCCCCTACTAACAAACTGACTGCCCTCAAAATTCCTAACTAATCTTTCCAGTTGCTGTTGTCAATTTTATTATACATATATAAATATACGCCTATTACATACACACACACACATATATATATACACACATACATACATACACACACACTCCCCCCCACCCCCGCCCAATATAAAGATATATAGCAGTTCTGGTAGTGTAGTGACTAAGGCATTTGACTGCTAACCAGAAGGCTGGCAGTTCCAACCCACCAGCCACTCCTCGCAAGGAAGGTTGGACAATCTACTTCTGTAGTGATAAAGTCTTGGAAACCCAAGGAGAGGTTGCTGTAAGTAGAATCCGACTCAACAGCAATTAGTTTTTTTTTTTTTTTTTCCTAATTTTCTTTCTATATATATAAGGGAGCTCTGGTAGCATAGTGCCTAAGGCACTTGACTGCTAACCAGAAGGCTGGCGGTTCAAACCCATCAGCCACTTCTCAGAAGGAAGATGGGGCAATCTACTTCTGTAGTGATACTGCCTTAGAAACCCAAGGAGGGGTCGCTATGAGTCGGGTCTGACTCGACGGCATATAACAACAACAACAACATATATATATATAAAGAGTAATGTTCAAGGCAGGCATTCTTTACTAGTTAAGCTAAACTACTATTTACTTTTAAGAAGACTTTGGGGATATTTTTACTTTACAGTTTAAATATTATCTCAGGGCAATAATTTCAGGGGTTCATCTACCCTCTATGGCTTTAAAAAGTATGGATTGCATGAGAATCTGAAATTCTGTTCTGCATTTCTTCCCTTTTGATCAGGATTCTTCTGTAGCATCTTTGATCAAAATGTTCAGTAATGGTAGTTGGGGACCATCTAGTTCTAGTATAATGGCAAAGGAGATAGTTGTTCACAGGGGCAATTAGCCACACACTCTATTTCCTCCTCCTATTCCCAATTCTCTTCTTCTATCTCTGTTGCTCCAGGCAAATAGAGACCAATTATTGTGCCATGCATGGTCACCTGCAAGCCTCTAAGACCCCAGGCACTATGCAAAAAACTAGGAGGTAGAACAGAAGCACTTAACAAGTTATTAGGCCAATCTACTAGGATATCCCATGAAACCACAACACTAAAACCTCTATACCAAGGATGCAAATTTCATGAGTTGTTTGGTTATACATAATCTACAGAGTTTTCAATGGCTGACTTTTCAGACATAGATTGCAAGGTCTTTCTACTGACATACCTATATGGACTTAAACCTCCAAACTTTTGGTTAATAGCATTTATTGTGAGAGTTAGTTATGTGCCGTCGAGTCAGACCCAACTTCACTGCAGAAGTAGATTGTCCCATCTTCCTTCTGAGGAATGGTGGGTTTGAATCGCCAGCCTTCTGGTTAGCAGTCAAGTGCCTTACGTACTACGCTACCAGAGCTCCCATAGCATTTATTAAGGGTTATGAGGGTACGATGGGTCCTATACGCCAGGAAACTGTTGTACATCTCAGTTATTATACATAAGAAATGTAACTGACATCTAAAGGAACTCATTTTCTGTACATTGACTGAAATGATTCTGAACTTTTAACTGCTATAAAAGGGAAATTTTTCCATCCCCATTGGAAGCCTAATGCTTTAGGCCATGATCACAATCAGGGAAGGAGAACAAGTCTGAAGACGACCAACTATCTGTATCTGAGTAAAACCTACTCACCTGTACTTAAAAGCGTATTTTGAATGATTTTGTTTTCATTGAAATTTTTAAAAATATCTGAAAACTGCTGTATTTTATACAAATAGATTTCTCCTCTATTTCAATGGAACCTCACTTACAACCTGAAACAGTAAGAAAATAAAGACAAAACCATCTATTTTCCATATTAACTTACTTTCTCCTCATTGGACAGTCTTTCATAAAATGTCCGATTTTCCCACAAATTCGGCAACATCTATCATTTGGTGCCAGCTCTCCTTCAGTTAGTACATCTGGATCAAAAAAATACTCCTAGAAGAACATAGGTATAAAAGTCTATTAGTGTGAGATCAAAACACAAAAGCTATGCAGATACCAAAGAGGGATCTTAAATCTCAATTCGGACATGTTGTTACTTTTTATAAATATTATTTACATTGCTTAAGTCCAAGAAAATCTTACACTATTAAAAGGTCTGGTTCAGGATAGTTTTAGCTAAATGCATTTTTGTTAATTCTGTTTAATCACGCAGAGCACTGTACAGCCCTAATCAAGCACACTTCTGAAAAAGGCATGGCACAGGCAGTGAGTCCACAGCCCCAGAATTGGGGAGGGATCTGAGGCCAGGGATCTGAGGCCAGATGTACAGGTTTCATTTTCTCATAAACAGAAAAGGCTAAAATTTAATGAATTGAGGGCCATGTGTTACATTACACAGATTATACATAGAAAAAGAAAAGAAAAGAAAACAAAAAACTTTGGTGTTGGTGCTTTGTTTTGCTGTGGCTTTTGAAGGAAAAATAACAGAAGAAAGGAAAAATAGTGATCAAGACTCTAGTTCTATGGCTATTCAAATTACTATGCAACATTGGCATCACCTGGGAGCTTGTTGGAAATGCAGCATCTTAGGCCCCACCCCTGACCGACTGAATCAGAACCTGCATTTTAACAAGATCCTCGGCTGATTTACATGAACGACTTTCAGAAGCACTGGTATAGAAAAATGCCACAGCAGTAGGAAGACCAAAGTCACAGATGTCATCAATTTAAACATGCCTCTGTACCTACACAGTAAAGATCATTAAAAAAGGCCTTTTTAAGGGAAATTAGTGAAAGAAAAAAATAACTTTTTCATTTAGAAAAAAAAAAAGATTTAAGATTACTATATTTAAGAAAAATAAATTATCAAAATAAAATCTAGTTCCTAATCACTTTTTCTCTCACTGAAGTAAATTTTTATAATGTAATTTTTGTTTTATGCAGTTGCTTAAAAATATGACTATCAAGTGACACTGTAACAGACAGTTCTGTTAGTGGCACCACTGCGACTCTCCTAGCCCTGCCAAAGAGATTTATTATTCTTTGCAAGCAAACTGAAAGAATCAAAACTGCCACCCCTTTGCCATTATGAAGTGAGCAGAACATATCCTTACACATGAGCAAACCAGGCTTGGCTGAGACCAGCATGAAGTGGAAGCTGGTGGAACAGCAATGCCACAAAATACGCTTTACCAGTGGAAGGGAGAAGCAGCAAGAGGATCAATTTTCTCCCGAATTCCCCTTCTTGCTATTTCTCCCTGTTTTCTTGGTAGATGGACCCAAAGCAGGGATGTTAAAAAAGAAATTTTTAGGACTTCTTCTGTACTAATCGTTGGCTAGACTCATTAGACTTTCTAAGTATTTAAGGTATTACTGAAGCAATGTGAACAAATGAGGTGCTTCCTAAAGGCTTTCAGAATTGTTTGTTGGTATTTTCAACAGACACTTACCATTTTGGAGGGGTAGTCCTTTGGAAATCCTTTGACTGGACTACCAAACACTCTTCTCCCATTGATAAAAGCTTTCATTATAAAATTTGTCACTAAGGAGAAAGGAATTAGAGCCCAATTAGGTGGATTACAAGGAAAACAGATCCTATTAAAATTTACAAACAAAGTATCTTACTTTTCCTTGATAATCCAGCTCCAAGATTATGATTCAAATCAAAGGGATCTATGTCAAAAGAATTAAGGGCAGAAAATAATGAATTAGGAAATACTTCTATTCAGCTAGCAACTGACATAAAACAAGGAGAAAGTACCACATACTCTGAGCATCAGTATTAAAAGTACTAAATGAATTGTCTTTTAAATGAGTTTAAAATCTGTAATACAGTTAGGTAGTAGCTATTTCTAAATAAAAAGCAAAAGTTTCCCCAAAAGTGTCCATTAAAAAAGAGTGTTGTCTTATGTTTTAATCTTAATGATGTATATGAGATCTAAATAGTTTCATGAAATAAATGGGAGTAAAAGCATTTTTACACTACCATGCTCCATTTTGTACATGATTTGAAATAATTCACATAATAATCGATAATTAAAATATTATGTATAAACATTTGACTATTTTCTTATACATGCCTAAAAGCATATTTAAGAAGGTCAAAAAGAAAAAAAAACCCAAACACACAAAAAGAAGCTCAAACCTTTTTTGGGAATCATGTCACTGAGAAAATAGAGGACTGCATTTATATACTGTATTGTACACAAATAGGAGTGAAGAAGTAAAAAGAGGTCTCCTCAGGTTATCTGTTATGCTTCTGAAGCAGAGTAACTGAGGTGCACCATATTGGGAGTAGACTCTGACAGTTTACTTGAGCACACGTTTCTGCCCTCCACTCAGTCCTACCCTAAGAATTGCTATAATGAGAAGCCTCTCTTAGTTTGGCCACTATGCTTTCTTTTCTATTTAGTTTTTTAGTTTTGGCAAAAGTACATGCAGCCAAAGATATACCATTTCAACAATTTCTACAAACACAATTCAGTGACAAAAGTTATATTCTTCAAGTTGTGCTACCATTCTTGCTATCCTTTTCCACTTTATTCTAGCACTATTATCTTAAACTCACTGTCACCAAGCCTCCCATCCAATCTTTCAAGTTGCTGCTGTCAATCTGATCTCATATAAATAATTCTTCAAAAGAGCACAATGCTCAAAGCAATACACTTAACTAATTACCAAATCAAGCACCAAACTTTACTAATTAAGCTAAGCTAATTTTTGGTTCAAAGAAGACTTTAGGGAAGAGTTTTTGGCTTAAGGTTTGAAGCTCATCCCAAGACAACAGTTTTGGAAGCTCATCCAGCCTCAGTGGCTCCAGAAAGTCTGGATACTGTTGTCATTGTGCTTTCTATGGTGATTTTATATGTGCCTGTGTGGAGGTATTTGTGTAGTAGAGATACCATATTAACTAGTGAACAATTAAAACCACTACCACTGAAATTACTTAATTCTATCATAATTGATTGTATAATCATGTATGAAATCTTATTTCTATTTTAGCCTATTATTAAGGACTCATCTGAAAGGAATATAAAAATTAAAAGCAAAAGATAAGGCTTCAAAACATAAAAATAAAAATTAATTAGACCATAAGAACCCACTATATGATAAAGAAAGAAAACAAAAGTTCTGTATTTTTGATGTATGAGGTCCTAGAAAGTTAAAAATATAACCCACTGTGAGTAGAATTTCATTTTACAAATGTGCCATGTATTTTAATACTGTCAATGGGTAGAAGAAATGATGAATGCATAGCCTAGAAAAACACACATATTACTTAGATGATAGGAGCATTTTTAAAAAATAAAAGAACACTATTAAGTCATCTCAGATCACTTATACATATGTTAACTTCACTTTTGTCCATTTATAAGTAATACCCCACAAACCAGAAATAAGCAATCAATTAGGAACATTAATGGCTGCTTGTAGGAGCTCTGGTGGTGTAGTGCCTAAGGCATTTATTTGACTGCTAACCAAGACTGGAGGTTCAAACTCACCAGCCACTCCTCAGAAGGACGACTGGGCAATCAACGTCCATAGAGACTCCGCCTTAGAAACCCAAGGAGGGGTCACTATGAGTCAGGATCAACTTGACAGCAGTTGAGTTTGTTTTTTTTTGGTTTTAATGGCTTCTTGTGGCCTTGCAATCAGGTGGAAAAGAAAAGATCTTAGTATGGCCAAAATTTACATGTAATTATTAGTAGGTAAATTCCTGTCACGAGCAAAAAGGATCTTGAATATTTAATCTTAGTGGCCATTTTCAAATTCTCAATTGAGAATTTATATATACATATATATATATTTTAAAATCCCACTCTCTTGAAGTTGGCTTCTCTCAGTCACTACCTTATTCTCCAGTATGTGTCCAAGAGTAGTAAAAGATTTATCATGGTTCACCAACATATGTCATGGTGAACAAAAATTTTAGGCTTTGTGAGGCATCAACTAAAAATCATTCTTCAGGCTAGAAAGAGACAAGCCTGGCTGGTGTGGACAGTCGTTGGGTGGCTGCACTGCATGTCCCAGTGGCAGGTCACACTACCTGCAAGAGCTCTGTAAGGATGAAGAGCAGTGCCCTCACGTGATTCAATTTTAAGCTGGATTTTATTGTACCTTCAATAACGATGTATTTCGAAGTCCACTGTTTTTTAAAAGTTGTAAGCAGACTTTTTCTCCTGATGCTAATAACATGTTCTTTAAAATCAAATTCCTCTGTGTAGAAACGAAGAAGTCCCAACCATAGCTGCCCAACAGATTCTGTATTTTTTCCATATTCTGGCCAATAACTGGGCTAGAAATAAAAGGAAACAAAGGTTATCATGCTCTATACTGAAGTGCAAAATCATTATTCATTTTATCTGAGGGAACAAAATGGAATTTATTTCTAATCAAGAAGAGTTTAAATACATAAAATATTATATAACTTTCCACTTATATTTTAAAATGCAATGTACATGAATTTATTAATCTCTATTCTAAGACTCAGAGGTAGGGAGAGGTCAGAGTTTTAAATGTCAAGCCTCAGAGCACAGTTTGTTAGCGGAAAAAATGAAAATAAATTCCAGAGTCTTGGTGACTCCCGGGTTTCTGTAACTCAAAGGTCTTTCCAAACTGTCAGGACAAAATCTAAGTGCAACTATTCATTCATTCTGAACAAAGCTACCTAAACAGGTGGAATTGTTAGGCATTAAAGAAATCCTGGATATAATCCCTAGCAACTCCCCTGGCTCAGTAATAATGTTTTCAACTTCAAATGAAACATCTGTATATGCAAGTCGTTTACCATCATAATTTAAACGTAACAAGTAGTAACAGAATTCATTGACATTACAACATATTACAGCAACTTTTAGTCAAAGATGTAAGAAAATCTTTACTTCTAAAATACGTACCAGTTCATCTATTTGATCAAAAAAATAAGTATTCCAGCCATCAACAAATATTTCAGGTTTCTTTTCATCTTTATATATCTGAAATTAATTTATAAATTAATTAAATTAGTTACGGCATATAACCTTAATGCACTGTAACAAAATAAACTGTAGGAAAATGGTCAAAAATTTAACTACAGAACTACATAATTTCAGAACAGAGATCACCAAGATTTACAGATGAGAAATACAATGACTTTTACTAATACCTCTTGAAGGACAGGAATGACTGGTGGATTCCTCTGCTGGAGAAAATATAGCACCATAAGAGTGTATGCATACGATGATAAGCTGCCTCTAGATGCATCCCCAATGTCACACATCTAGAGGGAAAGAAACCAGGAACAGAGGAAAGATCACCAATGTTTTCTGCTAAGTTTGTAGCTATTCTCACTAAAAATATAGTCATGCAAAACAGATTTGACATAGGAGACTAAAATAAAAATCACATTTTCATATGCTAAAATAAGCCTACCAAACCAAAAAATTAATCAAACAAACCAATCTCAGAATAACAACAAAGTAGCAAAAATATCAGCCACATCAAGTCCAGATCATCGTGTAAAATTTAATAACTGTAAGATTATAGCTAGCTGAATCAGGATTGCCAAATAAAAGAAGAATCTGATACGGCTATGGTTCTTTTAAAGGAGACTTGGTGGTGCAGTGATTAAGCAGTGGGCTGTTAACCAAAAGGTTGCTGGTTTGAACCTACCAGCCATTCTTTGGACAAAGATGAGTCAATCTGTTTCTGTAAAGAGTCCAGCCTTGGAAACCCTGTGGGACAGTTCTACTTGGTCATATGGAGTCGCTATGGGTTGAAAGAGAGCTCTGGTAGCATAGTGGCTAAGGCACTTGACTGCTAACCAGAAGGCTGGAGGTTCAAACCCACCAGCCACTCCTCGGAAGGAAGGTTGGGCAATCCTACTTCCGTAGCGATACTGCCTTGGAAACCCAAGGAGGGGTCGCTATGAGTCGGGGCCGACTCGACGGCAAATAACAACAACAACAACAACATGGGTTGAAATTAACTTGATAGCAGTGGGTTTGGTTTTTGGAACGGTTCTTCAAAATTACAGACTTTTGTTTTCAAGAGTTTGAAGATGTAATAAAATTTCCTGATACATCACAACTGGAAGGATACTCACCTTTGTAAATACTTTCATGGTATAGCACAAGTATTTCACTCTGGGGTCAATGGCTGAATAAGCAGATAAGAGCCTTGTGTTGTGAAGAGCCTGTTGAAAGAAAAAATTATTATCACAAGGCCACCAAAAAAAAGAAAAAAATTTAAACTGGCATATTCTGACAATTTAAGGTTTACACTATGAATCATTTTATAGGAAGAAGACATTAAGACTGAAGTTAAATTTATTTCTTCCTAAAGACAAGTCTCATAATTTACCAGATAATAACCAAGAATTATATGTAACATCTGATTTCATGACTTACATTCTATTAATGTGTTCTTAGTTTGAACACTTCCTAGAAAATAAAGGTTATCAGAATGGATACTAGTACTAATTTAATTCTTTTATACATCCAGATTCAGAAAACTGCCGAATACAGCAAGTACTCACTAAGTAAATGCTGAAAGAATGCGTAAGGTGAAACGAATAGCTCATTCAACTTGAGATTTTCTAAGTTAAGAGGTTTTTGTTCCCCTTAACTTCCTCACAGTAAAAGCCTGGAGAAATCTTACCAATGTGTTATACAAACTGATATCCACTTCTAGACCACTTCTTGAATGGATGAACTTTACAATGGGCACCTTTGCTGTTGTAATAGGTAAGATGTTTCTCAGACCTAGGTCAGAAATAAGATCATATCATTAAATACAACAGCCAGGGAATATAACTGGCTTATATATTATTATATATTAGTATTTTAATATAAAACAAGATGGATGGATACAGTGGCTACTATGATGGGCTCAGGTATAGCCAAGATTGTGAGGCTAGCACAGGACCATGCAGTGTTTCTTTGTGCATAAGGTTGCTGAGTTGGAGATGACTCAACAGCACCTAATGGCAACAACAATATAAAACCTTATAAATGTAACTTTGGCTTGTGTCACTGCATTCACTAAGGACTAGTCAAAGAATTCCGTTATCAATAAAGACCTGAGAAGACTTTTGGTAAAGCTTACATTTTGTTAAGCACATCAATATCTGAATTACAGGAATGAAGAAGGCCATTACTGCCTTTCAGAAATTTACTGAGCTGTGTGTGCCATGTGTATATTATGTGTGTAGGGGTATCAGTTTGATAAATACCAAAACAGAGGAAAGCACTACAGAGTCTGGACCATATGGGGCCTGCCTGTTTTCCCCATCTGAGGATATGTATGTAATCTGGAGAAAAGCCAACAGTGCAATCATCTGAATTGTCAAAACAAGTTACCATGGAGCTATAAGTTGCTAAGATTGCAAAAAGAAATCAACTTCAACACAAGGGGAGAAAATTGTTTGAGCTAGTGCCCCTCCAACCTGAATGCCCTGACCTAGGCTTTAAAAAAGAAAGAGAACAATAGGCAAAAAGTGGAGGTTGAGGGGACTTAGCAGGCAAGGAAAACAGCCTATGAAAAGGGTACAGGTCCAAAATAAAATGGCACATTCAAGAAACTTCCAAGAAATTCTACAGGCTGTGGAACAGACTTGAGGAAAAGGAATAACAAGTAATATGAGACAGGGTAAAACTTGGGAAGAACCTGAATGAAGACTGTATATATCCTGCAAGGAAGTATCCTTAAAGATAAGGAGAAGCCAAGGAGCTAGCATGAATTGGGGAGAAACACTGATCACATCTATTTAGACAATGCTTCTGGTAACAGACAGATTGCAGGTACAGGCAAGATGACCACTTATGAAAAATGACTGGGCTTAAGCTATCATGGTGGCAGTAGAAATGCAGAAGAAGAAACAAGACACATGACAGTATCTATAAGGATGGGGCTGGGAAGTGTTGGTGGGGTGATAAGGAAGAGGAGGAATTACCATTTACTGAGTTGAGTATCTAATGTGCAACAGGTGTATGAAGATAATCTTTTATCACTTCTACTTAATAGAAGAGGAAATAGATTAAGAAATTAAGTAACTTTCTCAGGAATATGTAGCTAGAATTCTAATCTAAGTATGACTGACTCCAAAATCATACTGTACCTGGTTGAGAACAATCTAATTATCACTTCACCCATTCTAGTGACTCAATAGTCAAAAAAAGAAAGAGGATTCAGAAGAAAGGGCAGGCAAAGGTGGTGGTTGCAGGGGAAGTGAAGTGGTAAAGGGAAAGATGAATTCACTCTGAGAAGACTGAGTGTGAGTTTTTGCTGAGAGTTACATGGTAATATCTACGAAGCAGACACACAGTGCTCCAGACTCAGGGGAAGTATCTATGTAGAAGATAGAAAAACTTTCAGAAAAAAAGGTCTGTGGGGAAGACAGGCGTTCTGGTGGCGTAGTGCCTAAGGCATTTGACTGCTAACCAGAAGGCTGGCGGTTCAAACCCACCAACCACTCCTCAGAAGGAAGGCTGGGCAATCTACTTCCGTAGTGATATCGCCTTGGAAACCCAAAGAGGGGGTCGCTATGAGTTGGATCCAACTCGACAGCAGTGCGTTTTTTTGGCGGGGAGGAAGATAGAGGAAGTCTAGCTTACCTTGGTGGGAGGGAAAGGAAGCATATATTTCCTGAAAACTTAGTATATGACTAGGCCCTGTACTTAATCACCTTGTTCTTTTCTCAATTTCTCACGAAGGAAAAGAGATCAAGTGAAGTTAAGTGACTTGTTCAGGGTCACACATAGCTTACTGAGCAGAAAAACTGCAGAAACAATCCATAACTCCAGTCCAGGGTGCTTTCCATTACAGTTTATATTTCTGTTAGCAACACTTACACTTTGATTTATACAATGTTGATCATGCAAAGCTACTTCCAAAATTTCTTGCCTGTCTCACTTTGTCTTAAAATAAAACTGTACTATGTAACAAGTAATGCATACAAATTGCCAACTGCTCAGTGCTTCACACTTAACAAAAGATTTTTTAAGACACTGATGTTGCAAATATGCTATAATTTAGCATTATACTGCTTCCCTGGCTTTAATAAATTCTATGTAAAACACTAATGAGAAAGCTTGTAGAAGTACCTGAATGTTTTCTGAGGAATCTTGCTAATTCTTCAATAGTTCTTACACAGTCCAACCCCTGCAACAAAGATGGCACAAAATATTGAATCAAAAAAAAGACAGGTAGTTCTTCTTTTTCAAAAAGTTATTTTTTGTGGTTTAGGTCAAAGTTTACAAAGCAATTTAGTTCCTCATTCAGCAATTTGTACGCAGATTATTCTGTGATTTGGGTTCCCCACAATGTGTCAGCATTCTGTCCATTTCCATTTTGGGTCCCCATTTCCATTTGCCCAGTTGTCCTGCCCCTTCCTGCCGTTTTAACTCTGCTTTTGGGCAAATGCTATTCTTTTGGTGTCATATAGTTGATAGTTCTGAGGAGCATGTTCCTCTCAAGCGTACTGGTCACTTTCTAGGCCTGGGAAGACACGTTCCTAACCTGGTCATAAATAGTTTTCATTATCTTCAGAAATAATAAGTCTAATTCCAACTCCTTCTATATATACTTTTTCCTGTCAGGGAAATATCAGAGGTAGTAGTGAGTCAGTATTCATAGGAAAATCTTAAGGACATGAAAACTCTTTAATATCTACTTACTAATTGCTTTTGGAGGTACAACAAAAGCTATAATTGGGCAGGAACCCTCTGGGTGAAAAGCACCTGCTAACTCTTGACACCATGGGCAGGTACCTCCATTTTCTCCCACTCTAATTATATTCCTCATGAGTATCCTAGGTGCCAGAATAAATAAGAGGGGCTTCTGTGCCTCACGCTACTCATTTCACGTAGGCTGTCATTACAGTTTAATTAAGAGCTATGAAATGCCGGGGAAAGTGATTATGCTCACATTATTTCCCCATAGAACTAGCCAAAAATATAATGGACAAATGAAAGTCATATAAAAATATGATTACGATTTCAAAAAATTATACTTAAATATATTTTGATGTTTATACTTAAATACATTTTGATGGTTACACACATCCTAGAACATATTTACAATTTTCCTTTGGAAATGCCCTCAAAACTCATTTATAAGTCATGTAAAAAAATTAATCTTGAGGAAGTGTAACAGGTCATGTTGGACTTAGACTTAGTTATCCATTTTATTCACGGAACTCGGGCTAGTTAACTTTTGATTATTTTCCCACATCAGATACATCTTCATAAGACAAAGATTTGAAACTGAGAAAAGGTGTAACAATACCTTGATCATATATCAAAATATCTTGAGCAGCACTCATTTGCATATATATCATCTGGACTGTTATTAAAAGCAAAAAAAGAATAGAAGCTTAATTCTTTTTCTCAGATTTTACATAGCACTTTGTTTCATAAATGCTTTCATATACATTAGGGGCCAGCACACTTTTTCTCTGAAGTGACAGAGAGTAATTATTTTCAGCTTTGTAGGCCATTTGGCTTTTGTTTCAACTACTCAGCTCTGCACTTAAGAGTGAAGACAGCCATAGACAATATGCAAATGAGTGGGTGTGGCTGTGCTCCAATAAAATTTTATTTACAAAAACAGGCAGTGGGGCTGAGGTCCTAGTTTTCTGAATCCTGGCACACTTGATCCACGGTGATTTGAGTAACAAACAATTCACTAAAGTAAGAGGCTCTGGTAGCATAGTGCCTAAAGCACTTGATTGCTAACCAGAAGGCTGGTGGTTCAAACCCACCAGCCACGCCTTAGAAGGAAGGTTGGGCAATCTACTTCCATAGTGATACTGCCTTGGAAACCCAAGGAGGGGTCACTATGAGTCGGGTCCGACTCGATGGCACATAACAACAACAAAGTTAAGAGGAACAGAAAGTATTATTTCCACTTTATAGTGATCTATCCAAGACCACATATCTAGGTCTCTGGACTATACACGTAGCATTGCACCACACTGCCTGCCTGGCAAAAAGCACCAGAGAAACCCTTGTGCGGGTATGTGCCTCAAAGTCAGCCAAGTAGCCAAGCCAATGGGACACTGGAGAGGCTGGTTTGACTTTGCAGAATTTCCATATGCTGCTTTCAAATCCATTTTGTACTAGAGGTTGAGGAAATAGTTATCTTTCTACTCCTCAGATCTGCCTCTAAGCTTTTTAATATATTTGGTCAGACAGATTGGTATGCCCTGTGAAATTTGAAAAACACCAAGCTGCACTGTCAGTCAAGGTTGGTCAAATCATGCTGCCACAGCAAATGGAAGTTTTATGTGGTCACTGTACCTCGGCAGTTTCAAGTCCATTAATTGTCATACAGATGTCAAGGTCACTCTGTTTGAACCCAAATCCATTTTTGGAGGAGCCAAACAAGCTCAATTTAGTTCCTGTTAGGGATATATGAAAAGTAATAACTAATTACCTGAGCACATTTAATTTTCTGATCAAATCAGCCCTCTCATGAATTAAAAATACCCAATTGTTAACTATTCTACTTTAACCTTATTAGAGTGTTGTCTTATTAATCAGTCATTTATTCTAATTTTATTTCTATCAAAAGTGACTTCAAATAAATACAAGCTGTATATGGCATGAAAGAGCCATATGCCACTTCATTCTTAAATACAAAGACATTTCAAGGAAAATGTAGATTACCTCAAACATATTTAATAATGTAAGCTTCCTACTTTCTAAATAAATTCACTTTACAGAGCTGTGAATTTTTACTAAACGTTAACAATAAATGAAATTCACTTAAAGCATCTGCTACTAAAAATTGTACCTTGCTACCACCTTCTTTGTTGGTAAATTAGGACCTCTCAGACAAAAGACCATACTAGGTACATCATAAAAACAACGGAAACCATGCCCTACCATCACCGTAAGATTACTTTATATTCTCAAAATTAACGTATGTGCTTTGTGACCTCAGGTACTCATTCTGAAGCCCTATCTTTCTTTCCCTAAAGTAAAATGATTTACCTGGAAACTCTTGTTTTATGAAGCTTTCTAGGTTTTGCCGGATATGTTCACGAGCCTGATCTTCTAAAATTGTTGGAGAAAAATCCTCTGTTTAAAACAAACAGACACATTTGGGGAGGGGAATAAAAAGGCCTTGGAAAAGCTGAAATAAAATGGCATCTTCTATAAATTTTTTTTCCTACAAATTAAAACAAGCTTTAAAACAAAAAATACCCTAAATTTGATGTGTCATCTTAGTAGACAATATTGTTGTTGTTATGTGCCGTGGAGTTGGCCCCGACTCATAGCGACCCCTCCTTGGGTTTCCAAGGCAGTATCACTACGGAAGTAGGATTGCCCAACCTTCCTTCCAAGGAGTGGCTGGTGGGTTTGAACCGCCAGCCTTCTGGTTAGTAGTCAAGTGCTTTAGCCACTATGCTACCAGAGCTCCTAGTAGACAATATTAGCACTGCAAAATAAAGCAGATGCCTTTTTCTTAAAGAAAACTACTCCTGAAATGGACCTAATGTGGACAAGGTTCTGCACCTGTTTTTCACAGATAGCCTGAGGGTTATATAGAGGCGGTCTTCAGAGAACCACTCAGGGTATAAATAGGAAAGTTTGTATGCATGTACATAAAGTAAAACCTACAAAAGCTGGAATATATGTAAGGCAGAAACCTATCAGAGAAGGAAAACTCAAATATTTTCCAATAAAATGAGTGACAGAAAAGTAGTGAGAAAACTTGTGAGACCGGGAGAAACAAGGCATTCCCGTCAAGTTCCAGCTCTCACAGGTTTTACTGTATATATTTTTGTCTGGGGAGAACTCAGTTGTTTTTCATATCTCATAACATCCTTTTTTTTTTTTTTTTAAATCATTGGTTTGAAACAAGTCTTTTGGTAAAAGTGGACATGTCAAAATGCAGCAATCTGATGAATCCAGCTCTACTACTAAGCAATTGCATACCTTTTTTTGAACATTTTATTGTGGTTTGAGTAAAAACTTTACAGAGCATATGTTTCTCATTCAACAATATATATATATATAAATTTTGTTTTGTGACATTAGTTATAATCCCTTTAATACAATGGTACTCTTTCCACTTCCTCTCTGGATTCCCCACTACATACCTCTTCTAAATGTCTTTTTTTCCCATCTGTAGGACTTTAAATACTCTGTATGCCAATGCTTCCTCAAACTGGTCTTCCTTAAAAGGCTGTTATGTAGGCTATTTTATTTATTTATTTATTTTATATTCTATGTGCAAAATTTGGAAACATTGGATTAAAGAGTCAAAGAGGAATTTAAAATTACAATAGTTCTAATATTAAAGCAGCCTTTATATGCTAATTGTCCAATAAATCTCTAAGGAAAAGGCAGTGTACAGTTATTCCCTACTTGGCCTATAAAGTGTTTCTTGTTATCAATATTATTAAATGCATCTAGGAAGAACTGCAAGAACACCAGATGGAAATTACCAATTCTCTAACCTTAAGAGCAGAAGAATCCTCCCTCCCTCCCTTCTTCAACAATTATTTAATGAAGATACTGAATGGGACAGGCATTAAACAGACCACTGTGGATACAATGGAGAATGGAAGAGACTTAGTCCTTAAGACCTTAGAGAGGCTACAGGCTAGTGATTCAAATGACTCATGAGTAAATGTCAACTCAGTATGTTAAGACAAAGCAAAAGAAATGTTAACAACTTACTGTAACACTGGATGCAAACTTGATCTAAGATACTTGAAAATTTGGGTGTTAATGGTGGCAAAGGGTCCAGCTGGATTCGTTTGAAGTCTTCAGGACAGTCCTTCTTTAAATGACCCTCTCGTTTGCATAAACTGCACACCACTGTAGGAGACTGCAGTAACAGGGAAGACCAAAACAAGACTTCAGATAAAACTTTGCCAACTCTTGAATGCTTTTCTTTAAATTTTTACTGTGATTTGGGTGAAAGTTTATAGATCAAATTCATTTTCCATATAGCAGTTTATACCCATTTTCTCATGACACTAACTGCAATTTTCCACAATTTAACAGCTCTCTTCTTCCCCAGTTACTTCTTCCCTGTGTCCTTCCCTCCCATGTATTCCTGCCTCCCGAGTTTTCTCCCTCTACATATACTGCCCTTCTGTCCTCCCATGATTGATCTCTCCAAGGAGTGTATCTACCTGATGTAAATGTTCGGCCCATATGGCAGTCTTTTATTTGCCTGGAAGCCACAGGAGCGAGTTCAATTCCAGACCTGAAGGGCAGCTAGGGGCTATAGTCTCAGGGGTTTCACCAGGCTCTATCAGACCAGCAAACATGCTTTTTTTTTTTCTTTTTTTTTTAATGATTTTGAGTTGTTCAACATTGTTCTCCCACTCTATCCAGGATCTCCTACACAGATCCCCCTCTGAGTGGTTGACAGTGGTAGCCAGGCACCATATAGTTCTTCTGGTTTCATGGTCATATTATAGGCTGAGGATCACATGGTCTACCAGTCCCTTGTACTAATTGTTTCCATTTATCTTTGGTTTCTTCATTCTTCTTTGCTCTGGACAAGGAGAAAGCCATCATTGCATCTAGATGGCCGTCGTAAGCTTTTAAGATACCAGTCACTACTCATCAAAGTAGGATATAGAATAATGTTTTTGTATAGTATGTTATGCCAATTGAGCTTGATGTCCCCTGGGACCATGGTCCCAAGTCCACAGGTCCAATTATTCACTCCCTCCGGGTAGCAGGCTGTGGCCAAGAAGTGACTACAACCTTGTCCCTCGTCAGCTCTATTATGTACCTAGACATTGAATCTTTTTCTTGAAGTACAAAGTCTATACTCCACTTCCCAAAATATGGAAAATAATAATGTGCAACTACTGTAAACCATTTGAGAATGAGGGACCCAGTATGGTACACTCAGGAGAAAAAGGCAATTATTTTCACTGTTAACAGCCTTTTCTTTCTTTTATGCAAACTTCCTTGAGTTTGAAGTAGGGAAATAGACCAAGGGATTGTATTAGAATAAAACATCAACTCATTAAGCACTATCAAAAAAGGAGACAGCTTTGTTCTAGTACATGAAAACTGAAATTCCATGCATTAAAGTCTCCTAGCTCCATGTTTAGTAGTGGCACTGATTACCTTGCCTTTGGTGAAGATAAGTTTATTAAATTCATAGAAGAGATCACACTGGTCCTCAGCTGAATTTTCCTCACATATGTTTTCTTCCTTAAGATTTATTTTATTCAGTTCCACTAGAAGAGCTCCATCAGCATGTGTGTCACATTCTTTCAAATCTTCGTACTTAGCAGACTCGCCCAGTTCCTCATCCTCTTCAGACAGGGCATCTTCCTCTCCTGATCCAGTATAGGTGTTGTCTAACTCATCTTCATTAGCAATACCATCTTCATCTTCCTGTTGGTTGACAGTGAGCCTGGGCTCTTCTTCCTCCTCTTCTTCTTCCTCCTCTTCATCAGAGTTAATGATTTCTGATGTGTGGCTCTGTACTGAAGGGGCAAAATGGTTTAGAGAGTCCTCTAGTTCATCAGTACCTTCTATACTCACTTCATCAATATCAGCCCTGACAACTATAGTAACAAATCCATCACGCCCTTGGACTGTAAGATTTTGGAAACCTTCTAAATCCAAAGGTCTGTCAGTCTCATTGCATGCACTGCCACAGATGGCAAGTTCTCCATGTTTGCTACTGTTTAGATCTTGATCATGAGCAGCCAAATGCTGGCCCTCCTTTTCAATTTTTAATTTATCTTCACCTCCTGTTTCCTGATGGTGCATGCCAACATCCTCATAATCGTCACAATTGGCTTCTGCTTTGATACAGTCTGAGTTTTCCAGGCTGACACTGATGCGCATGTTTCCCATTTCCTCTTCTGGTGGGTCCCCAAAGTGATCAGCAATCTGTTTAACTGGCTGTACCTTGTGAGTATTTGCAGTTCGACTGATAGCACCAGGACTCGGAGTCAAAATTGAATTTTCAAATTTGTCATCTTTTGTTTGTACATCTGGATCATGATTAATTACTTCTTTATGTTCTGATATATCTGTAACTGCACCCACAGGCTTCAGAAGGCCAGATTTTGCAATTTTGTGTGGAAGAGCAAAATATTTATACGTTGTTCTTAAACAGTGAAGAATGTATTCAAACACAGGTTGGTTATTTAGAGTCCTTGCCACATTCCTTTTAACAGAGTAGGGATCTGTAACAAAATAAAATTCATCACATCATACATTTGTATTTTATGTTTTAAATCAACTGGCTATAAATAAGTCACACAACAAAAAAATAACAGTACTATTTATCATGTATTTTATAAGCTTTTAAAAACTAGAGGTGAGGAGTAAGAAGAAAGTTGAAGAATAAAAAAAGAAATAGACATGTTTTCTTAAGTATCTTCTCTACGAAGAGAACCCATTCTGCTCAGAACCAGTACCCCTTCCCTATTTTGCTCTGTGACTGTGGAGACAGAATAGATGGCACCAGTCTGGCTCTTGTGCCCTCGGGAAGGGAGGTCTTCCCGACAGGCGCTGCTGAGGGCTCTGCCTCCCCATTCAGCCAGGCCCTGTGCTTTGTAGAGCTTACCTCCACTCTTCTGCCCTGGGGAGCCCCATCACTGAATTGGCTCGACTGAATTTCAGGGGCGAGAGGGAGGCACCAGGAGGAGACACCACTTCTCTCAATCTTTTCTCCTCCCCTAGAACTCCAGCAGGTTAGGCAATTGGCCAGAAGAGCTGAGCCAGAGAAACTGCAGGGGAGGGTTTAAAAATGTGAGATCCCCATGACTGCACACAGAATTTATGCAAAATGCAAAAAAACCCTCTTATGCAACAAAAAGCTTGAAAAAAAATCAAGCAAACGTAAGAGAATTCCATTGAGGAGGTTCTTAAAATTACTTAAAGGAGGAGAATTAAGATTTCTAGAGGGGTTTCAACCTCCTGACTTTGAGAAGCCAAGCTTGTCCTGTTAACGAAGTCTACAGAGCTTATCAGTATGTCTTTGTATAGTGGTTTCCTTTAAATGAGCCTTGTGGGAGGAAGTATTTTTATGAGTAAGTTCTAAATGTTACTGTAGACCTTTCAAAAACAACTATTTTTTCCCTCTATGGAGACGAATCCAGCTAAGTGTAAAGTTTATATATCCAGGTGACTTAGATTATTATTTTTCATGAAAGAGTATTTTCCTCATCCTTGCAAAACTAAGCAACATCGCCAACTGTCTATGAAAGTACTGAATTTAAATCCACAAGTGAGAACAGTAATGAGGAAAGGGGGATTTACATATTACCAGGAAAAAACTCAGATGCTTTTAAGTTGTCAAGCAATTCACAAAGAAAGTAGGACTCAGCCCGTTATTAGTAGCTTCAGTAGTTAAGTTGGTTTATGTGGCATTTAAAAAACAGAGGATGAAATGTCTGACTCCTTGGCATGATCCACTGTTAACACATACAAGATATTAACTATATTACCTTTGAGACTAGGCCTACCTTACATGTAGGAGCTAAAAAGAGACTGAAATAAAAGGCATGCTGTTAGACCGGTACCTTTAAAAGAAAAAGGGAAAAAATAAATAAATAAAATAAAAAAGGGAAGTTAAAGGTAAACATTTTGAGATACCTTCAACAGCAATGCGCTTTTTGGGCCAGTCCTTTGATTCACGGGAAACAGATTCTTTGACACGTATACTTATCACTAAATCAGCCAAATTAAATTCTAAAGCATAGAATCGAAGCAATTCCACCCAGAGCTGCCCAACTGGTACTGAAGGCTGGTGCTTTAAGTCAAATATTAATGGTACCTATTAATAGCAAAGAGAAAACATACAGGTTATCTCCTATGTCAGCATAATCTGAAAAGCTAGAGATCAGTCAAGCATCAAATTAGAAAATCTGTAAAACCTTAGCAAAGGCAAGATAAATCAAACTCTAGGTTCTAATTTGCTTGCTGGTAAAATAGCATTACTTCACTGCACCCTTGGGATTACAGTATGTTAAAATAGTTACTGTCATAAGAATAGACAGGATCAGTTTTATTTAATTCTCTCAGTACTGAATTTTTCTGGTTGCTGCTGCTGGAGGCAACCTTTAAACAGTTACAGACACACAGAAATGGACAGCAGCTAAAGGCGCAGAGAAAAAGGAAGGACACGCCTCTTTCATTTGCCTCCATAAGCTACGTAAGCATACTGAATCTGCTAGTGGCAATTAATCCTAAAGCTAAATGATGATGTTACAGTTGTAGGTATCAGAAATTGGTACTAGTCATAGATTAGTAGGACTAGTATAGTCATATAGTAGTCATAGGAGTAGTATAGCCATAAATCTTAAATTGAACATACTGTAATATATTAGAAAATATATAAGACTTAGAAAAACACTGGATCCAAACACTGATTCTGTCACTTCACAGTGACTTAGCTTCTTCATTCTCAGGCTGGCAGTATAACACAGGAGCTAAGAGAACTGGCTTTGGAATGGACAGGCTTAAGTTTGAAATGCTGGTCAAGGTATATAACCTGTCTAAAACTTGGTTTCCTCATCTGAAAAATGGGATAACAGTACCCACCTCATAGGGTTGTTGGGAGGACTGAATGACAAAGTGTCTGTAAAGTGCTTAGCACAGTGCCTGGCACACAGTGTTCAAAAAATGGTCGCTATCATTATCTGCAGAGTAGGGATGATACCACCTATAACACAGGATAGTTATGAGGATTAAATCAGAAACAAGGGAAAGCATCTGGCAGACTTGGCTGTTGTCCGTATTTTCTCACTCAGGTACAGTCTTTTTACATACAAGAAATCCACATATCATTGAAACATGATGTCAGAACTGTAAGATGCTCTTATGAGGTACTCCAGTTCAACTCTCTTATTTACAAAGAAAGGGAAAGAACTGAAGCCCATCAAGTTCAGATGACTTGTCAGAAGCCATACTGCTGGTCAGTGGTGGGAGGACAACATCTCCCAATCCCACACCATACAATCTCAACAACGTCTAGATCTCTCTTAATTCCAGGAGTGGAAGCATGATTAATTTCTTCAAATAGCATAAAATGTAAAAATATGTAATTGGATTTACAGCAATAGCTTTTCCTTCCCCTTAGTCCTAGAATTCACATTTTAAAAAATTTACCCTCTAAGATATACGAATTGTTTGCAATCTCACTTCATTGTATCAAACTTCAAAACTAGAAGTATGGTATCTTATTAATCGCTGAAAATCAACCACAAAGGTTCTGTCAAATAAGATACAGTCATCTGATGAATTTACAAAGTAGGACTGATTGAAAATGGAAGTTGTTCAGGTCCCAAACACTATAGATGAGGACACAAAGAAAACCTCCAGAAACTGAAAGACTTATTTAAGTTTCATCTCTTTATCCACAAGTTTCTTTCAGAATTACTAATTTTAAGCATCTCACTGAAAAGACTTGAAAATACCATAATGTGGAACTAAAGAGACCCTGGAAATACCTAGACTACTGGCACTTAAAACTTTTTTCAAGTAAAGAACAATTTTCTTTTTCAAATAAAATATGAAGAGTAACAGCTAACATTTACTGACTGCTTACCATATGCTTGGCACTGAGCTAAGCAGTCTATAAATCAATGACCCTATGAGACGGTATCAATGTTATCCCCATTTATAGGTGAGGAAACTGGGGCACAGAAAGGTAAGCTGCCCAAGGACAAGTTAGGAAATGGGAGGGCTGGGATATGAATACTTGTACTCGACTTAACCACCTATACGGTCATCCACTACTGGAACCCCAAAATAGAAATCAGATGAAAGTGGTGCTGTTCTGGTGGCTGCAAGGGGAGGGTGACACCACCACTCTCCCCTCCTGTCTACTCAAGGAATCTAGAAAACACAACTAAAAAAAAATCTATGATTTACCATAATCTCTTCATTTTAGGCACGAGAATAACTATGGATTGGAGGAATGATATAGCTTGTTCATGTACAGCTGGCTTGTGAATCCTGGTCTCCAAAATATTTTATGGCTATTATTGTCATTTAACCCCACAGGGTCAAGGGTAAGAGACCATTTTCAAATTCAGGGCAAAATCCTATTCTCATAACAAGTCTAATTACATTGCTCAGAGTTTTTATTTGAAATTCGAATGACAACTCTTTCCTTGTTTATAAATTCTTCCCACCCCAACGGTATGGATGAAGACAAGTACACTAAATCATATACTTGACAGTATTTTTGCATAAAATGTGCCCATGGAAATAACATGTGCACAAACATATTACGCGTATAGTGTGCCCAGGAAATTAATGTGCGAGGGGGCTGCACGGTTTACAAAAGGGCTGTTTAACACATACGTTATTTGTGTAAAAACAACCACTATTAAATCATATACTTATTCAGTTACTTTATAATTTGAGGTTAACTTTTCATATACATATATTTTTCATATACATATATTCGATCTAAGATTGAAGCTTTTTAAGGATAGTGTTTATCTTTTAATTCTTGCAAAGAACAAACCATACAAATGCCTGTGAATTTAATGATCTGAATTTTACTGTCTCTCCCTACTTATTTATTTATTTGGAAGTGAAATAGGTTAAGTCAGTTAAACAAAGAAGAGGGTAAGACTGATTAACTCATTAACACCACAATTAATATCTGAATTAGAAATAGGTGGCAAGACCAGAAAAGAGAATATGCATACCTGTCCCATTTTAACCCGCTTGTCTCTGGGCTCTCTGGGCCACTCTTCTTTGGCTGCGTCTGTATCCCCTGTGGCAGCATCAATGTATTCCCACACCACAACGTTGTTCTCGACATCTTTAAGGTTGAAATTTCCTAGTTTGTTTAATGAAAATCCTTCAATCTAGAAAAAATTAGATTAATACGATCATAAAGTAAAAATAATTTTATATCATTATCAGAGCTTCTTAATCTTGCAAAGAATCAGTGAAAATACAACATACTCAGTTCACTGAAAACATATGACTTATGGAATTCCTCTGAGACATCTGTAAATTAAAAAAAAAAAAAAATTCTTAAATATAAAACAAGGCTGTGCTTTGCAAAAGAAGTTGTGAGTTTGTGAGACAATTCTTTGGTAAATAATCTACAAGAAGGCAATATGGCCTAGCGGCTAGGGTCATGGGTTCTGGAATAAAACTGACTTGGCCCAAATCTCAGTTCATTCAAGTACCAGTTGTGTAACCTCAGTAAGGTACTTATCCTCTTTAGGGCTCAGGTTCCTGTGAAAATGGCTAACACTAAAACCTCCTTCATGAAACAGTGATAAGAAATGATGGACAGAAAGCACTCAGAATCAGAATGTGACACACAGTAAATGCCCAATAAACGTAAGCAACTGTTACAGATGATACTATTAAAAGACTGCAAATTGAAGTTCCCTAGTTTGCTTAATGCAAAACAAAACAAAGACTGCAAACAGACGTTAGATGCTCATACCAACCAATATATCCATGATACTGCATTACAGTTAACACCAAACACCAGGCTACAAATAAACACATAAACATCTAAGAAGATCAGATGGGGGTCAGTGAACAGGAATATACTCGAGACCAAGGATAGATTCAGCGGAGGCTACTCTTGCACACATACTAGTGATACAAAATACCCGCAATCCTTACAGAAACAACATAAAACAGATATAGACCAATCCCTCACAGACAGCCAGACACTGTGGGAGAGAGATCCAACAGATCTACTGCATCAGGACCATAGTACTGGGGACACTAGACTCAACTGGCAAAACAAAATACATAAAAGTCTTGTTCCTCATCCTACATTGGTGAGTAGCAACTGGGGTCTTAAAAGCTTTCAAGTGACCATCTGAGATGCAGCTAATGGTCTCCTGTCGTTGGAAGTGAAGAAGAGTGCAGAAAACCAAGGGCATTTGGAAGCAATCAGCCCTAGGACACGATGGCCCTCGAGACCAGAAGAACATAGATGGTGCCTGGCTACCAATGCCAGCCACTCAGGAAAGGATCAAATCTGGAGATCCTGGATAAAGTGGGAGGAAAAATGTGCAACAAAATCCAAAAACTCAAAAATGACCAGAATTACTGGTAAGATGGTCTGGTAAGACCCCCAATACTATGGCCCTGGGATACATTTTGGCCCTGGAATAAAACTCACTCCCAGGGGCTGACTCTTAGCCCAATAGTAAAGATTGTAAATAGTAAAGAGTGGATGCAGACCACTCAACCCAGGGTGACATCCCATACATTCTATGGAAATGCATCCCTTGGAGCACTCGATCACTGGGCACCAGAGGGGCAACATTCACATGGAGGAACGCAGGACAAACAGGAGTGCATAACTATGAGGGGCACGGAGGGGGGGAGGGTTACAGGGTAGGGAGGGGAGGAGACTGGGTTAGGGTTGGGGATGGTAGATGGGGAGTGAAACTAAATGTACATGTAATGTTGAATGTAAAACAAACTCTGTTCTGTAAACTTGCACCTAAAGCACAATTAAAAAAAAAAAAAAAAAAAGACTGCAAATTGTAAAATCCAGAAGCTCTGAGATAGAAAATTTGTAATTCTGTTTCAAAAGAAAATTTCAAAAGCATATTCTACAGGCTATTAATAGATGTTAATACAAAAGAAAATGGTTTGGGCTTAAAAATCCCAAGAAATCTTTTAAAAAGTTGAACCATTTCCTCCTTGTACAGCATGATTTTTATTACAACCTTGAAACAGATTCACGTACATAATGAGTTGGCGGTGGAGGGTATATGTTGTATCCCATTTCCTAAATCTATGTCCACAAAAAATGGATTACAGTACTGCACTGGCTTAGCAGGCAGAGTAATCTTTCTAAAACACAGACTTTATGTTGCTCTCTTACCTCACTCATACTCTTATTCAAGAAGAAATTCAAAGTCCCTTGCAGGGCTTAAAACAGCCCTATGCAATATTGTCCTTCCCCTCGTCTGACCCAGCTTCTATCCTTGCTAAAGGCTAATAACATTTGCTAATCCCTTGTGGCGAAGTGGCTAAGGCATTTGACTGCTAACCAGAAGGTTGGCTGTTCAAACCCACCAGCCACTAAGCTGAAGGAAGACCAGGCAATCTACTTCTGTAAAGATCTGCCACCTCAGAAACCTAATGGGGATCACTAACAGTCGGAACTGACTCGATGGCAATGGGTTTGGTTTGGTTTTTTGGTCTGCCTGGAATGCTCGATCTCTGAACAACCATTCGGGCTCACTCTCCCTCACTTCATTGAGGCTCTGTTCAAACATCTTTCTCTAAACAGCATCTCCTTTCTTTTATTCTCTGTCCTTACAGAGAAGGAGAGGGTTTTTATTTTTCCTCAGAGAAATTACTATTGCTTAATAGGTATTTATTTTGTTTTTCTCTCTCACCGCTGGGTATATATATAGCTAATTCCACTTTAGGAGCTCTGGTAGCATAGTGGCTAAGGCACTTGACTGCTAACCAGAAGGCTGGTGGTTCAAACCCACCAGCCACTCCTCAGAAGGAAGACTGGGCAATCTATTTCTGTAGAGATACCACCTCAGAAACCCAAGGAGGTGTCACCATGAGTCAAATCAACTCAATGGCAGTGAATTTGGTTTTTTAGTTTTAGCCACTCTGTGAGAGAAAGATGAGACTCAACAGCAGTGGGTTTGGGTTATTCTACTTTAGTCTTTATTCCCAGGGCCTGGCAGATAAAAGTTCCTGCTTAATTTCAGCCCATTCATTATAAAGAAAAAATCCTCTACAGCCATACATATGTGTGTGTGTATGTGCGTGTGTGTGTATACATATACACACACACACGTATGTATGTATTTTGTTGTTCTGGATGGCGGTCAAGTGCTTTAGGCACTGAGCTACCAGAGCTTACACATATGTATATATATTTTTGACATGCATTCATAGTTAAGAACTGCTCTAGAACATGGATCTTCTTTGAATGATGAACAAGACCTATGCAGAGGAAGAAGAAACCCATTACCATCAAGTTAATTCCAACTTACAGTGACCCTACAGGATGGAGCAGAACTGTCCCCTAGAATTTCCAAGGCTGTAAATCTTTACAGAAGCCAAGTGCCTCATCTTTCTCCTACAGAGTGGAGATCTACCAACCCTTTGAACATTTTTTGAACCACCAATCTGACTGCTAGCCAGAAGGCTAGTGGTTCAAACCCACCAGCCACTCCTTGGAAGGAAGATGGGATAATCTACTTCCGTAGTGATACTGCTTCAGAAACCCAAGGAGGGGTCGCTATGAGTTGGATCCGACTTGATGGCTGTAGTTTGGTTTTTGGTTTGGAACCTTTTGGTTAGCAGCCCAGTGCTTTAATCAGAGTGCCTCCAGAGCTCCTCGTACAGCAAGAGGAAAGGCTATTAAAATATCCAATGTGTTAAAGTAAACTTTCACCAAGTGAGTCTTTCTATAAAATGTACATATAAGATTATACCAAGATAGGGATTCAAAATGAGGTTTCTAAGAGACTGGACATAATTTCTAGTCTTTGAGATGGTTTCTTCTTAAATCCTGCTATTTTCAACACATAGCTGAACTTTAATTTATCAAGAAAGAAAGAGGGTCATATTACTGAAATTTAAATCATCTTAAAGATAAACAAACCCAATGTCATCAAATTGATTCTGACTTCCAGCAACCCTATAGGACACAGTAGAATTGCCCCATGGGGTTTCCAAGGCTATAAATCTTTACAGAAGCAGACAGCCATATCTTTCTCCCACAGAGCAGCTGGTGAATTCAAACTGCTGACCTTTTGGTTCGTAGCTGAGTGCTTAACCATTGTGTCACCAGGGCTTCTCTTAGAGATAATACCAAATACCAAACATTACTCAAAAGGTGACTATTAAGCTCTGCATCTGTGGTACAGGTGACAATCTCAATGCTTACATTGTCTTTTATTTTTCCAGATATAAGGAATAAAGAGAAATAAAAGATTAGAAACAGAAAGTTATATTGAACCAAATACTGTATTTGGAGGTGATACGCAAAGTATCAAGGAGCTCTGATGGCGTAGTGCCTAAGGCATTTGACTGCTAACCAGAAGGCTGGCAGTACAAACCCACTAGCCACTCCTTGGAAGGAAGGTTGTGCAATCTACTTCCATAGTGATACTGCCTTGGAAACCCAAGGAGGGTTCACTATGAGTTGGGTCCAACTTGACAGCAGTGGGTTATACAAAGTATCAAATTAGAAAACTGAAACCAAAGAAAGTGTGTACCAAATGATAAATTTAACACAGGTTCACAGTCTCTTATCTGAAACCTTCAGGACTGTCTGTATTTCAAAAATTAGAATTTTTGGATTTTAGAGAGGTAATAATATCACCAGCAAGGCACTGGGTAGCATTTTGTAATCACACATACAAATATTTCAGCAGTGAAATGAATATTCACATTAGTAGGATAAGTAAATTCATGTCAGTTCTGGTTAAGTTTTTAGATTTTTGAATTATATGTAATGGATCATGGACCTGTAATAAAAACAATATGGGATATACAAACAAAAAAAAGTTTAATACCCATGATCCTAGGTAAACAGGCAGAAGGGGCTCTTTCCTCTGCTGAAGAAAGAAAATGGCCATCAAGGCAAACACGTAAGGTGGCAAGCCACCTTCTTCAGGACGATCTATACTGCAAAGCTACATGAGAGAAAACAAGAAAAGCATTCTTTTTATACCAATTTGTCATTTACACAATTTGTCCTAAAACCTGTAACTTTATTACTATGTATTACTTGATCTACAGTGAGTCCTCAAAACAAAGCAGCATAGGGACAAAATATAAAACTTCCACACAGTTTTGTAGCAACCACATAATACCATGGTTTTGTGTGACAGTTTCACTTTCAAATATTCAATCTTCCTGTACTAATAAATATAACTAAACTTACTCATGGACCTCCTAAAAAAATATTTCATTTTTTATTTTTTGACAGACATGGTTTAAGTTCATTCACGTGGCTTAAACATGTTAATGAAGTCAAAATGATGGTTCAAAGTGTAAGTCAACTGGTTCTGTTTAGTTTAATGGTCCTCTCAATCTAACTACAGCTTTATAAATGTATACTTTGGTTACAAAGGCAATTACAGGAGAAAATACGGGCAAATTCATTAGTATTAATAGAAAAAACAACCAAAAAAGCATGGTCTACTTAGAGATAAAACAGGAAGTAGTATTCAAATAATGGCATATTGTAATCATCAATTCACCAAATTAAGAATTGGGGATCCTCTATTCATCTGGGACAAAAGTAACAGGAATTATGTATTTTTACTATTATACCTTAATCAATCAAGATTTTGCTTCCCTCTAAAAAGCACCTACAAAGAATCTCAATTTTATAATTATGATTTCACCTTACATTTCAGGGGAATGCTAAATGCTCTGATACTTATTAAAGCAATCCAGCTGGGATGCCATACTTAAGACATTACGGAAAGATAAGTAAGATCAGAGAGAATGTGTTTCACTTGTTGAGGAGTTTCTGAATATATTATTGAAAATGGTATGAGAATCTTTTGTGCTTTATCTTAAACTTATCCTGTGTCTAAGAATCACCTTAAGAAACAAGTTAAAATGCAAATCCTTGGGTCCTAAGCCCTGGGATTTGGCCCAGAAACAGGCTTTTTAATAAGCACTATAGATCATTTTGATCTTCTGAAGACTACTGTGGTAGTGAAATAGAAACACTATCTTTTCCATTCTTTAAACTTTAAAATGTCTGCTCTGTTACTCAGAAAGCATACTCTCAATGTCTATAACATGCCAACAAGTATTTAAATTAACTGAGTAAGAATCAAAGCATACTGCTTATGCATATACAGAATGTATCCATGTACTTGAAGAACTCAAACCTACCTTTGCCCAATATCTAAATGCAATCACCAAAGGAACCAGTCTGGGTTCTAGTTTTCCAAGGGCAGTTAAATGATTTGTTGTCAGACAAGCATTTTCATTTCCTGCACTCACTTTACAAAGGAGACCACTGTTGGGGGTGAGAGGGAGCGAGGATGGGAGGGAAAAAAAGAAAGACAAAAGTGTCACACAGGTACATTTTACTCCAAAAACAACTGATTTTTACATGGGCAATAAATACTTTAAAACAGAATAAGTAAAAAACAATTTCACTGGTCATTTAAGAAATTAGGTTTTTTTTAAAAGATAGAGCAGCTATTTTCTGAGTAAACATCATTTTTCAGAATAAAACTTTGTGTTTTTATATATTAAAGCTATATGGGAAGGGCAAAACAAAAAAGGAAAATATTGTAAAATGTTTCAAATGAGGGCATGACTCATGCATGTATCAATAAAAGAGTTTTCTCAAGAGTAGGAGCTATCTGCCTAATGAAGAATCATTATAGCCTATAAACCACCCATTCAGTAATGATGGCAATGTTTCCAGATACAGGCAGAGATCATGGGTGAAGTCACTGTTACTCAGCACTGCCAGAACTGCTGCTAAAAATGATGGCAAATAAATGCAATTAGAGCTAGTGAACATTTGATGAGGTGGTTTTTCATCTAGTTGAAATGGGTCAAAATGCTTTCTTATCTTTTTTTCCCTTTAAGTACTTTTACTGTTTTAAAAATAAAACATTCTTTTCCCTCTTGCATCAAATGCCAAATAAGCTCATGAAATAAGCATGTCAAGAGTTTATAATTCTAGAAACTGGACATTAAACTCTACTACATGTGCTTTTACTAAACTGGTATTTATCTAATATATAAACAGCTTAAAGAAGTAGACACCTTTGCTTTTCTCTGCACACCACCACTGGAACTCTAGCATGGAAATCTGCATCAACATCAGTAAAAGAATCTGAGGAAAGAAGAAGAAAATAGTAAATAGGTTAAGCAACCTTAGTTTAAAAATCCAACAAGATAAAGTACAAGTACCAGTTTGGCTTTTTAAAGGACTACTACTTTAAAGAAAACTCTGAAATGACTCAAAAAGGGGGGGGGGGAATTCAAGAATCAAGTGATCAAATTAAAACTCTTTCTTTGCAAATTTAAAGTCTGATTAGAAATGACTATATAATTAGATCAGAATATTTAAAAGTTATATGAATAAGAGAATTAGAAATATGAATAGGACATTCAAAAACAAAATTGTTGGTGCAAAAGCTATTAAAATGTTCAGGATCAAATATATACTGAATGAACTAAGAATAAAAATTTAAATGTTTTATTCAACCAAAACAAGAAGGATGAGAAAGACAAGGGATGAAAGAGTTTGATGAGGCCTCCATAAACTATAAGGAGCTCTGGTGGTGCAGTGGTTAAGTGCTCGGCTGCTAACTGAAAGGTTGGCTATTCGAACCCACCAGCTTCTCTGTGGGAGAAAGATGTGGCAGTCTGTTTCTGTAAAGATTACAGCCTGGAAATCCTAGGGGGCAGTTTGACTCCATCCTATAAGGTCCCTATGAATCAGAATCAACTCAATAGCAATACATTTTTAGATAAAAACTATAGAAAGGTAGAAAGCCCAAAACTGGGCATTATGCTGGACAACTGATAAACCTAACTGGGACAATTTGCAGAATCATTAATTAGGGTGGGCCATATCTATATACCTTTTTTAAAGTACAAATTTGAAAAGTAAATCATCTTTTAGTGCTACCCTTAAACTTGAATATTTTACTTTTTTTTTTTTAGCTCTGATCTAAAGAAAAAAACAAATCAAACCCACTGCCATTGTGTTGATTCCAACTCATAGTGACCCTATAAGACAGAGTAGAATTGCCCTATAGGGTTTCCAAGGCTGTAAATATTTATGGAAGTAGACTGCCTCATCTTTCTCCCATGGAGTGGCTGGTGGGTTCAAACTATCAACCTTTTGTTTAGTAGCTGAATATACCACCAGAGCTCTTCAGCTCTGATCTAGGACTCATTTAATCTTTTTAAATAATGACATTATCATTAAGCTAAAAGCTTTACTGAAGAAATGGTTATTATGCACAGTAGATCTACTCATGTTGTTGTTGTTGTTATGTGCCACCAAGTAGGACCCGACTCATAGCAACCCCTCCGTGGGTTTCCGAGGCTGTATCACTATAGAAGTAAATTGCCCAACCTTCCTTCCGAGGAGTGGCTGGTGGGTTTGAACTGCTAGCCTTCTGGTTAGCAGTCAAGTGCCTTAGGCACCACACCACCAGAGCTCCTAGATCTACTCATAGGACTCTAATTACCAATAATTCATGGGCATTTGCTTTGGATATTACTTACACAAATAATTTAAAAACATTATCCCTATTTTCAAGGTTTGAGAAATAATATACAGTCATATTCAAATTACAGGCAAAAGAAAAGGTTAAGAGTAAGAAGTGGGAAAATTTGCCCTTACCACTATTCTTTAAACATTCTTGAACAAGTAAGAGAACATCTGGTTGAGACATCTAGAAAATAAATCAATGAATATATAAAACAAGCTGTAAGTACTTCAGCTTCAGTGAGATAATACAAATCGCTTTCTAAATCAGAAATGCCCATTGTTACTAAAGAAATCAATCATTATACCATGTGTGCATATCACCCAAAGACAAAAAGATGAGCTCCAAACAAGGATGTGGGCCAAAGAGACTTATTACAGAGTTAACTTGGTTGATGAGTTAAGGTAATCAGCATCTTAGCAAATCTCAAACCTGCAGCTGCAAGTTGTCAAACTGCTAACATTATTACCTTGTTTAAACTACTCTAACAGATTACTTACTCATCTCTTGCTTTACTCTTGCCTTTCTGTAGTCACTGCCCCACACAGGAAACCAAGTCAGGTAAAATCATGGTCATGCTCTTCCTTAAAAGCCTCCGATGGCTTATTACTGCATTATGTCAAAATCCCATTGTTTACCACGGACTGTAAGAGCCTGCATGTTGGGCCCAGCTTACATCTCTATCCTAATCTTATGCTCTTCTTCTCCTTAGTCTCTTCACCATGGTATACTACCTTCCTTCTAGCTCCTTGAATAGCCAAGCTTCTTAGTGATTTACGGTGCTGATGAATGCTGCTCCCTCTGCCTGAAACCCTCTTTTACCTGGCTCTTTTCATTTTCTAGAGCTCTGTTTAAATGTTACCTTCACCAAGAGGCTTTCATTACTGCTTGATCTCTGCACATCCCTTGTTATTTTCTATATCCTTGTTTCTTTGCACAGCTCTCATTATAATCAATTATATATGTAATTATTTATCGCTTCACTAGGATGAGCTCCATGAGGGAGGAATCATCTGTTTTGTTCTCCAGAATCTAGTACAGTGCCTGGCATACAACAGAGGCTCAGTAATATTTGCTGAATGAATGAATGGGGCCAGATCAAATAATTTCTACGGTTGGTAAAACATTCATGAGATTCTTAAGATTGAAAGAACAGTAAAACCAATTGGTTGGATGACCATTCAGCTACAGCTGTTAGGTAAGACAAGGAATGACAGGTTGTGAAATAGAACATCTTGGGGAGGAGCCCAGGAATCTGTATTTTTTTAACAGAAAAGCCAAGTGGCTGAACATAAATCATCTGTAAGCTGGCCTGTGAGAACCACCCATGGATAAATGGAGGTGATATTTCCACTTTTTGAAAACATAGTTATTCTGAATAAAGTAGGTATGTAAAAGAGGAAACTAAGGAGCCAAGTGAGCTTTGTTTACACAAAATGTTTACATATCTATATGCTTAAAATCTGAAACACTTCCCTGCCATTGGACAGTTGATTTTACCAAGAGAAATTTAATCTTTTCAAGTTACTAGAACCCAATACTCCATTGGACTCACATGGTTAGAAAACTACCATGTGATGTTAAGTATAAAAGCAGCTCAATGTCTGTAAAGTAATTTTTTAAATGCTCTGAAACTGAAGGCAGGCAGAGATATAATGATGAAAGTTTTGGGAAAGAAAGCTGCCACCATTCTACTTTAAGTATTTTCACATATCTAAAATATATTTAATTGAAGCATACATTTCAAAGAAATTTCCATACCATTCTATGAAAATTCTTCAGAAATTTCACTTTGTACTTACAATGGCTGGAAATTGGATGTCAATGTTTACATCTGAATTTTTGAAACCAAATCGGCTACAGGATGACCCATATAATCTTAGAGAACAATCTAAAAAACAAGTAAATAAAAGTTAATTATTAAAGTAAAATTTCCCCAAAAGGGCAGCTTTTGCTCAAAAACTAAGTTTAGAAGGCAGGAAAGGGCAAAAAAGGACAGACAAATATAAATGGTAAAAACAGGAAGAAATGGGAAGAACTCTGTTACAACACTGCAGGGGTTGCAACCAATGTCACAAAACATTGTTGACTGGAAAATCAATTTGCTCTATAAACTTTCACCCAAATCACAAGTTAAAAACGAAAAACTTCTACTTTATCATGATGACATTTTGTGTAGAAAAAACTATTTGCATGTTTTTTTAAAACATGGAAGTTGAAACTTTCTTTTATAAACTATATTTTAAAAGTATATTACAGAGCTAATACAAACATTTCTTTTCACCCTTCAGAAAACACACATAGTTGCAATTTATTATAAACAATAATTTTCAGTAAAATAGTAAACATACAAATCTTCTGGCATAAAATGACTTTTCAGTATGAGTTACTCATTACATTACGATCAAAAATCATTACTTTAATTCCTTTAGAAAAACTCTGAAGAATGATTACAATAACACTGATAAAATTTAAAATGCTATGTACCAGTCCTTTCACTCTGCAGAGAAAGGTGTGTATATACATGAATGACCTAAATTTAAATATAAATTTATGTTCTCTATTTGTACTCTGGCATTATTTTTAGTATTTTACTGCTATCGTGACAAAAAAAATTAGCCTTTCACATCAGGGGATTTATACACACACACACACACACACATACACACACACAAGCTTGCTGGTTCAAAGAATTTCTCTGGGTTTTAGTAGGTTTCCATGACAAAGAACATTGAATTTTACAATCTATGGCAAAAATCATTGAAATTACAAATGGACTTTTCAGGAACATGCCTATAACATTAAGAAAGATTTATCCATATAATGAAATGAATAGATCATGCCCCTCTCCATTCTTGCAGAAATATGTGTGTGTATATATAAACATAATATAAATGAATAAATCTTAAGAATACTATAGAAACGATCTTCCAGAGGAACAAATATTTCTATGAATGATAAGGTGGCATATTTAAATAATGAATCCAACCCAGGCTATGGATCAGAATCACTCATGGAGCTTTCTGAACAGCTGCCTATGGCTCTACAGGCAGTTCTTATACATAGTAAGGACTGAGAATGATTAAGCTATGCTAACCCATCAGTTAGCCAAACAGGAAATGCCAGTAACTCTGGAGTGCTCTCCAGGACTGTCGGCAGTTTCGTCAGACATTTGCCATACTTGGCCTTATACTAAATAGCACACTCCAAACTGCTGTTCCCTACCCCTCAAAAGATCTATAGTTAAAAATAGGCAGAAGACAGCAAATAATTCTACTATTAACCTGTAAAATAAACTCAACAGGATACAAACTACATTACAAATTAGTTTTCAAAGCTCATTTTAGGTGTAATTCTTTTAAGTTTGTTTAAAATAAAACATTTTCTGGATGTCCAGGAAATGACAGAACACTTTAATTCAAAAATACTGTTGTCAATTCAGACAGGTAGAAAGGTAAGTAATACCTAAGAGTCCCAAAGTGCTTCAGTAACATGGGATATTGGCTTATACTGGAGGCTGCTAATAGCAGTTCAAGGAGCTCTGGTGGCACAGTGGTCAAAGTGCTCAGATACCAACTGAAAAGTTGCTGGTCTGAACATACATCAGCCACTCCATGGTAGAAAGATATGGCAGTCTGCTTCCATAAAGATTATAGCCTTGAAAATCCTTTGGGGTAGTTCTATTCTGTCGAAATTGACACCATAGCAATGGGTTTTAGTTTTAATAGCAGCTTACATTAATGCACATGTACGCAATGACATTTATAATGAAAACAGGTTTAATGACAATGCCTGTAAATCTTTGCTGTCTTGGAAGAAGCCAGGAAAAACAAACAAAAAAGCTGAGAGCTTCAGGTCATGGCAAATCAATTTTTAGCAGGTACAAATTACTATCAGTGGTTAAAATGAATCAGATACTTATTTAGGCAACTACAGAGAAAAATAAATCTAGAAATTTACCTGGTAACTTGTGTTGGAACACATTTTCCATGATACGTTTAATTCCTAGTCTCTGTTCCAAGTTCTCATTGTGTAAGCCAAACTCCTGTACCACTTTGTCAATAGCAATACCAATTGCATTTATCTGGGAGGGTGTTGGTGGGGGTAACGTAGTGAGCAACTCTTCCTCCTGCTTTTCCTTTTAAGACAGATACTGAGATTAAAAATGACTCTCATGCAGTTTTTTTTTTTTGCCTTCTATTACTTTTTCACTGAGACAAAACTGTAGAATTTTCTGGAATCTTTTTCTTAATCTTCAATTCAGCTGGGTCATCTTATCAATGTCATATTATTATATATAATATATAGAATTTTAAATGATCATATCATGAAGCAGCTTACTATGACTGGCATAGGACATATATATAGGTCAATGACTCCACATGCTGATATTATTCTGACATTCACAAGACTACCCAGCAAAAGGACAAGTATAAAGTATTTTGGTTCAAATAATTTCAATAAATAGAAGCTACAAAGTAATTATAAGTATAAAGCATTTTGGTTCAAATAATTTCAATAAACAGAAGCTACAAAGTAATTACAGGTATAAAGTATTTTGGTTCAAATGAATCAAGAAACATAATTAGCAAAGCTATTAAGACCATAAGCCTTAAGGAGAAGAAAGTGAAGAAGACCACAGTAGTAACAACTGACAAGACTATTTGTTTGGGCTACATGAAACTTACCTTAATGTTTTTCTTGTGCCTTTTCTCTTTGATATGCTTATGGGCAAATGCAATGGATTCAATTAAAACATCACAGAGCTTGCAGGTGTATTTTGCTGTAGGGTAGTTTCGTGGTCGCTATAATTTGAAGAGATTTATAGATAGATATATCTCCAAACATACAGGTAAATAAATATTAGTCAGAAATTGATTTCCCCTTTATTTTCATAACTGTCAATATATTATGGTCTCCCTTTATCACTATCCTCAACAGTCATTTTAAGAAGAGTATCAATTATTCTTAATTCTATTAAACAGAATAATTTTTAACTTGTGGTAATTAATAAAAACTGGGATACCTGATTCACCAAAATAGCTATTTCCAGTTGCTAACACAGTTTAGCTAAGGCTTTAAGTAAGACATGTACAAAGACGTTACCCTTTTTAGCCTGTCAATACAGTCTCTTCTTAGTCGCTCCTCAGCCTGCTGTAAGCCCAGCAACTCCTTCACGGAAAGGACTGATTCATCAATCACGGGACCTTCCAAGCCTTCATCCTGCTCATTTTCTTCATTTCTAGTTCTCCTTGGTTTCCTAGGTCTGGACCTCTGCTTCTTGTTTTCTTAAAATAGGGAAAAAATATCATTGGCAATATTGAATAATGTTACTCCTAAGTTTAAAGCAAAATGTACATAATTAATTTAAAAATGTGAAAGAATGAATGACATCTTAGACTGAACACAGACGAGAAAGAAATGGTACTTCTATGGATAAAGTGCTTGAATATCCATTAAGCTCCTCTACTGGACACACCAATTCATAGAAATGATCTTTGTGGCAAACGTTAAAAATTTTATTTCAATTATATAATTTATCAACTTTTCCTAGTATACTGCTGAGCATACTCAAGCAATAATAAAAATCGTAATATTCTAGAGATAAGTATCCTTATGATCTAATATATTTTAGTATAACTGTTACTCTAATCAAAAACATTCATATTTGCTTTCATATTTTAGAAGTGAACAGTTTCAATAGGGCAAAAATGGACATTCTAGCCCCAGAGAACTCAGAAATCAACTACGCCCTTATCTGGAGTGAAAATCAATCATGAAGTTAAAAATTTACCTTTTGATAACACAAATGGAAACTGGGAGCCTCTCCCTTCCCAATTAAGTACTAATACCAAGATATCCAAGCCAACATTGTAAACCTTGAGGGCAACTGTTTTCCATTTTATTTTTACATTCATTTTGGCTTGCACATTTAGCACATTTCAAAGGAGGAAAACAATTAGCAGTCAAAACAAGTTTTCTTTAAGTACAGATTAATTCATTTGTTCAAAACCTGTTGTTAGCGCTACAATTTTAAGTGAATCTGCTTCTTTTTTGAACAAAACTTAGCAATCTATGATACTGATGACTGTGTGATTGAATTACAAAAATTATTTTTAAATAGCTTTGATAAATTCTATTAAGTTCTGAAAATGAAGTTACTATTAACACATAAGATTAAAGTAAAATTTATTTCTCAAATTAGAATTCTGATAAATGGCTTACTAAAAATTAGTTTTTGGAAATATAAACCTGTTGAAATGCCCTACACAAAGTGAGTTCTGTAATGTTTTCAGGTCATTTCAGGTATAGCAAATTACAATGAACTATCTGATTGAAAAAAAAGAATTGTCAGAAATGGGAGATACAGGACCTCCAATTAAAAAAACAAAACAAAACAAAACTATTGCCATGAGCAATAATATAAATTTCAGATGCTATTATCACCATTGTAGAGTCAGGTAAAATAACAGTCAGAATAAGTAATAGGCTCAGGGACACATGGATACAATTCTGAAATTCAGGCTTTTATCTAACAATATTAAGATTTGAAAATTAATTACTAAAATCTTTTCTTCGAGTATACTAACTCATATCTAGAACAGATAAGAGAACTCAAAATACAATATAATCTTTGAACTCTGTTCCATAGGCCTGCATCGTACAAAATGGTCAAATAAAATCTCATTGAAGGGGATTTTGGAAGAACAAGTTGAGCACTGCTGAAAAATTCCATTACTTAGAGGAAGACTACATGGTTCATCCTATGTTTACTGAAATACTAGTTGTCTATATAGAAACATTCCAAGTTTCCCATACATTATGTGCACATGGTTTATTATTCCATTCACAAAGAACATATGTACGAAGGGATGTTTTCTAGTTAAGATTATTAACGGCATGGTCCCAAATAAATTGGCAAATTTGGGGGACAGAGTTGGAAGTGACAATATACAAGTGAAAAATAGGTAGTATTATAAAATAAGGCAACTATAAGATAATTTTCAGGAGCTCTGGTGGCATAAAGATAATTCTCATTATATGTTCATACATCACTTAATAAGACTCTTCCTTGTTAAGGTACAAGTATGATTTATGGCAAATTTCAGTGCCTTTAAGAATCTTTTTCCATGATCTTCTGAATGAAGTGCAAATTTTATACCTTACACTGAATCTCCCTAGGTAAACTAACCAAAAAAAAGCCAAACTCACTGCCTTTGAGTTGATTCTGACTCACAGCGACCTCCACTAGGTTTCCAAGGCTGTAAATCTTTATGGAAGCAGATTGCCTCATCCTTCTGTGGAGTAGCTGGCGGGTTCGAACCACTGACCTTTTGGTTAGTAGCCAAATGCCTTAACCACTATACTACCAGAGCTCCTTCTAGAATAAACATGGTTGTACCAAAGCTTCATATTGCCTCCATGAAGATTTCCAAAGGATAGAAACTGAACAGCTCTTCATTTAGCAACTGGGAAAGCACACTTACACTTCATTTAGAGAAAGCATGCAAGCTTTTGGATTGCCTTCAATTATAGAACAGTAAAAACATACTTCCCATTAAAAAATACTTAAAAGCAATTTCTTTCTAAAACCAAACATGACTACATTCAAGAGGTTTTGTCTATAAATGGTCCCTTTTAATATCTATTTGCAATTTTTTTTATTTCTAAACCTTTCTTTTTGAAATATTTTTCAAGACCAACTTTTTCTTTTCTAAAAATCCAATGATATGTAACTGTTTGGACACATCAACGTAAATGTAATATTAAAAAAAGTTCACAAACTTTTCCTTTAAAAAGAAAAACTAAACTCCATCAATTATAAAGAAAATGAGCCATTTCCCTCCATCAGGATTCCTGGTCCAGCAGAGGCTGAATTAATGGCCAGAGTAGCAGAGAGCAATATATCAGTTTTACTTTTTCATCTACTATTCTGCATGAACTGGATAAACTTAATCTTTCTGAGCTGCAGCTGCTTGACTAATAAAATTGCTATTCCACTTTTGATATGTCAAGATAGAGGGCTGCATAATTACTTCAAGTTCTTTTTAGCACATTTAGCTTAAAGAGATGCAGGTTTTATTTTTCGCTATTATTTGTTTCCTTTATAACACCTTAATCTGCTTCTGCTTCTCCATACTGGATATTGTTTCTTAAAAATACAGAATATTAATGGTGATGGCTGAGCACTAAACATAATGTCACTGAACTGTACATAAGAAAACTGAAGAAATGGCATATTTACCACAATAAAAATAAAAGATACAAAACAGCACCTTTCCCGATTTAATTCTAACCAACACTTAAAATTTCATCTCAAATGACTTTTCCCTAGTTTTCTATATGGGAGAAAAAAGGTATTCTGTGTGGCCAGAGTGACAAACTCAAATGCTTACAGGTAATATACACATGTACAAACTGGTCACTGTAAGGTAACATGAATAAGGCCTAGAAAATGCCCACATCACCTAAAAGCATTTATATTTAAACAACTTTAGAAGTGCTAGTCAGTTTGCAAGCCTATACGGCCATTAACAAAGACCTTCAACCAATAAACTTAAAAGCCCATTTTTTCCCAAGTATAATTTGTATTTTCAGATTGAATCTTTTTTTTCATTCCTTAATTTCTTACTTTATTTTAGCAATTATGGCCCATTAGATAAAAAGACCTTTCCTGTGTATAGTAATCATTGGTACATGGACAAAATCTATCTACTTTTCAACTTTTATAAAAAGCTATAAACAATCTCTTTGGGAAAATTATTAGCAATCACATGAAGAGCACTAAACATAAACTTTGGTTTTACTGAAACTAAACAGCAAAGCTTTTATTGCATTTCTGACTTTCTAAACTTATTTTTCTCAATCTCTTTTTGCCATGCTCCCTTTTACGGGGGGGGGGGGGGGCAAATCTTAGACCTCCCAAAAGACATATATTGATTTTATGGCAGATATATGCATGCCACAAAATACACTGTTTTTTATAGCACATCAGATTTTTTTTTAGCTTTATATTTTGTTATTTATATTGCAGACACATCCATTATTCAAATACAAAATCATAACATAATTTTCAAAACACATTGACACCACTCAAAAATTATGCTTTGGTCCCAAGGGGGACACTCTCTTCTGTAAAAAGCATCAATGAAAAAAAACATGTTTAGTAAAGTAAAATGAGCTTCATAGGAAAGTAAAGTTTTAAAGGGACCAATATATGAAATGTGTTGAAGTTGAGTCACATGAATAAGTGATTACTTTTCTAAAGCAGAAACTATGAGAAAGTGAAACTGTACAGGGGAAAACAAAACTCATTTGGAGGAAAAAGAAGAAAAGACATCGCTCGCTGACTTCCGGGTTGTAACTTGACAAACTGAACACATTACCAGGGCTTCCTGCTTCCACTTCTGACATAGTTTCTAGGCTCGTTAGCTCTTTATGAAACAGTCGTCTTACAGTTCTGCAGCCTCTTCCATCTTGCCACCTATAACCATCTTCACATTCTTGAAAGGAGTCTTTTCTTGGTCGGCTTGTAACAGGAACTCTAGGTCCAGGTTTAAATTCTCTCCAACTGTCTGAATTACCAGAAAGTTCATCAGAAAGCCATCTCCTGTTCTGATCTTTGTGGCTGTCATTTATCCAAGCTGGTTGGCTGTAAATTGGATTTTTAAATGCGTATGGATTATTGGAAGTTGCATATAGTCCTTTTCTGGGAGTATTCCCATAGTTCCCTGGTGATACCTTTTTTTTGGGAAGGCCTTTTTCCATTTTACCACTGTGGCCTTTAGCATAATCATCCACTATTAAATAATCTTGTTGGGGGTGTCCCCTTCTGAAATCATCATCATCAACAGTCCCTCGGTCTTTAGTGCGCTTTACAAAATAAGGTTTTGCTGCATCTCCCATGGTCTTTGACTTGAATTTTCTTATCTGCACCTGAAAAAAAGGCATTTTTGGGAAAATCAAACCATCACAAGTTATTATAGCAAGCACAAAAAACATTACAATTTATTGCAGACACACCCAGAAGCCTACCAGAAACTCTTTCCTACTTTTTTTTTTAATAAAAGGATGTCAATCACATTCCCAATAATCAGTGCACTACACTAGAAAAGAGGTTTAAACCTAAACCAATCCACTGCCATTTAGTTGATTCTGACTCACAGCGACCATATAGAACAGAGTAGAACTGCCTCATAAGGTTTCCAGGGAGCTCTGGTAGCATAGTGCCTAAGGCATTTGACTGCTAACCAGAAGACTGGCGGTTCAAACCCACCAGCCACTCCTCAGAAGAAAGATGGGGCAATCTACTTCTGTAGTGATACTGCCTCAGAAACCTAAGGACGGCTCACTATGAGTCGTGTAAGACTCCATGGCACATAACAACAAATAACATAAGGTTTCCAAGGCTGTAAATCTTTAAAGAAGCAGACTTTTATTTGAAAATATGAAGCCTCGTATTTTTCCCTCAGAGCAACTGCTGGATTCCAACGGCACCCTTTTTTGTTATAAGATGAATGCCTTAACCTCTGTGCCACCAGAACTCCTCTAGAAAAGGATTGGGCCTATAATAATCCTGGTGAAAACTAGTTCTTACTAGTAAATATGATAAGGAGTTTTGGTAGTGTAGTGCCTAAGGCACTTGACTGCTCATCAGAAGGCTGGCGGTTCAAACCCACCAGCCACTCCTAGAAGGAAGGATGGGCAATCTACTTCCGTAGTGATACCGCCTCGGAAACCCAAGGAGGAGTCACTGTGAGTCGTTCCGACTCGAGGGCACATAACAACAACTTACTATGATTAAATCTGTATATAAGGGAGGCTCCTATAATCTTGAGAAATACATTATAGTAAAATGTTACTCATACCAAGTTGGTAGGCTTTCACCTATGTAACAAATGCGTTTCTTTTAAAACAAAGTCGCATTTCAAGCCTATACTGTCACAAAAACTACTCAATCTTACTGTGAAAAAAAAAAGTTGACCATGATTTTAGCTGTTATACAAAATAACTCAAACTTTACTTGAACGGAATACATCTCCAACTCCACTTGTGCGCTTTTTTTCTGTATCTGGGGACCTCGGTTCCCTTCATCACCACCATTCAGAACAGACTGGTTCGGATCGCTTCGGTTACCTTGGGGCTGGGCTCCCACCATGGTACTACTCCAGTTAAAGGGACCGGGTTTCCGACCAAGAGATAGCTCTAGCTAACCTCCCATTTCTCATCCTTCAGCCCCAAACAAGTGTGGCTGTGTCGTGAACAAGTCCCTGATGAATGACGACCTTTTCAATTCCCCATCAGATGGCCGCACCTCCAACCTGACTCAGTTTTCACACCCTTCGGAACCAAAGGCAAAGAAAGAGGAGGCGTTCCCGCACTCTCGGCCACGAAGCCACCGCGGAGACCAGAAAGCAGGAAGTGACCTGCTTCCTCAATGGGGTTCCGGGGTCCCACCCGGCCGTCCTAGGGCCAAAACCGGGTGCCTGGATCCAAATCTCTTTTCGTTTTGCCTCTACAGGCTCTGACACAAAGTGAAAGCGCAGACTCGAACCTGAGAACCCAGTCCCCGCCGGTACGCGAACTCCCCAGTCTCCCGGAGCAGAAACGGGGGCGGCGGAGGAAGGAGCCAACATACCTCCGGAGCCAGGCCCGACCTCTGCTCTGAAGATCTGGGGAGCCCACTGGAGACCCAGCCTGAAGGGCACTCTGGGAAAGAGGCGAAGAGAAGACGCCCAGGAACACTCACCACCTCCGCTGCGGTCCCCAGCTTCCTCCTGTCCCGGCCAGGCTCCCTTTCCGTGTTTTCTTTCGGCCCCACTTCCGGCGCTCAGCTCTTTCTCATTGTGCGCGATTGGAAGCCGGCGGTGTCCCCGCCCCAGCGCTCCGCCGCAGACGCCGGAAACGCGGCCCTCGCTCGTGAGGCCCGTCCTCTGCTGCGTACCCGCCCCGCCCGCACTTAGCCTGTGTTTGTCGCTGTCGCCGCCGCTGCATTTTTCTCTCGGGCTCAGGCGTCCGGTGTCGGCTGGAGGAGGTGCGCCTCTCAGCGCGGGCGACAGTGGAGGTCGGTGGACAGCAGACAGTTCTTTGGTTCGGCCGCCTTTTGTGCGCTGTTCGCGCTGAGGCTGCGTAACCAGCCGCCCTGCTCTTCCTCGCAGTTCACTTCTCCTTGCTTATTCTATCTCAGTAGTGTTTAAGTATTGAAAGCACGGGAGAGGCTGTGGAAGAAAGCCTGTTGTTCCCCTGAGGGAGACCCGGAACCGAGCAGCCAGGGCGCAGCCGCACCCGGTAGCCTTCAGAAAGGCTCCGCTTGGCTCTTAAATACTTTCAGGGAAAAGAAAAATTAAACCTTGATCTGAGGCTCTAAGCGCTGTTACTGTTTTTCTGGTAATTGAATGATACAAAGTTTCATTGAAGTCTTAATTGCCGAGCGTGAAGAAATGGAAGCGTTTAAGCATTCACTGTTCATCCAGATCTAAAGGTGGTCAAGGGACACACTGCTTTTTTCTCAGATTGTGTCAGGATTAGTTTTACTTAAATTTTTTTTTCAGTGTGTTTTGGAAAATATGTGCAGTCGTAAAGGACGGCCAAGGATAATACTTGACTTTTTGAACAGAAGGGTGCAATCTTTGAACTTGCAAACCACGTAGGGTTCCTGTTTTTTTACTTTTATTATTTTCCTTTCTGTGAGCGGTGTCCTAAATACTTGAACATTAAGCAACTAATAAGACTGATATTGACAGTTTTAGTTAATGTGAGTTTTAAGAGCATTTAAATTTAAATCCATGAGCTTCTGTGTGGCAGTAATTTTAAAATAATAGCGAACACAGGCAGTACTTGTTATTGCCATGCACTGTTCCAAAGTTTTTTTACAAATGTAATCCTCATAGTAGTCACGGACTAAATATCATTAGCTCCATTTTAAGGGTGTGTAAGCATTATCATTTACAGTGGAGTAAATTGCACAACTGGAATTAAAACCTGAGCAATCATGCAAGGTCTTAACCACTTCGCTATACTAAAGTGATTTAAAACACGTTTGTACAACTTTTGTGTAATTTCTTACTTAGATGCATTGGTTCTGAAAATGCACAAGGATTAAGCTAATAATCTGACAGGCAGACAATGTCCTTTGATATATATTCTAAAGTGAGTGTGGTCATGTATGTTTCATTGCGTGCTAGCAGCGTCACCACACCTGGTTGAATAATAACTACTTGAGAAAAAGTAACTGAGTTGCCAACAGTTTTATAGGAGCAGTATGGGATAGATCTTTTTAAGGATTTAAAATATTTTTATTGTATTTTCTTGATTATTTCCCAAAGTCTGACTTCTATTCTAAAATAGTTTTTAAGATTCATCTTGAGAATAAAATTTGTTGTTAAGTGCTGTAGAGTCAGTTTCAACTCATAGCGACCTTACGCACAACAGAATGAGACGCTGCCAGTCCTCTTCGATCCTCACAGTGCTATACTTGAGCCCTGTTGCAGCAACTGTGTCAGTCCATCTCATTGATCTCATTGTAATTGACATCTCATCCCTTTCTTCGCTGTCCCTTTACTTTACCAATCATGATATCCTTCTCCAAGGACTGGTCCTGATAACTTGACCAAAGTATGAGAGATGAAATCTGGCCATTCTCTTTTAAGGAGCATTCTGGCTGCATTTCTAACAAAACATTTGTTCGTTCTTTGGCAAGTCCATGGTATATTCAGTATTCTTTGCCAACACCACAATTCAGATGCATCTGTTCTTCTTCAGTCATGCTTATTCATTGTCCAGTTTTCGCATGAATATGAGGCTATTGCATGGCTTAGGGCAGGTGTACCTGTAGTCTTCAAAGAACATCTTTGCTCTTTAACACCTGAAAGAAGTCTTTTGCAGCATATTTGCCCAGTGCAATAAGTGGTTTGATTACTTGACTGCTGCTCCCATGGGCGTTGATTGCAGATGCAAATGAAGTGTTTGTGGCTTCCTGAGGGGATTGCTCCATTCATGGCTCTAGTGGGAGAGTCATGCCTTGAAACTGATGAGTTTTTGTATTCAAACAGCCAATCCCACAGGTTCTTTTTAGACACAGAAGCAGAGAGCGAGAGGGAGGAAGAGAGAAGGCAAGGAACCTCCTGAAAGAGCTGTACCATGGGTCAAGGGCTGTGATACTGAAGACAGTGAGAAGCCCAGAAATGTCTCAATGGCAGAGCCAAGAGCAGACTGTCCTGAGGGGGGCAGAGAGGGAAACCTATCCCAAGGGGACTGAGAGGAAGACTGCATGACTGAAAGGAGCTGAGAAAGCTATTCTACACTGAAGAACGGAGACTTTATTCTTTGCTCGGGTGTTTCCTGATCCTGATCCTGATTCTTAGTTATGTAGCTTGTTGATCCCGATCTTAAGTTATACCTTATTACTTCTTTAATAAACCATTTAACTATAAGTAGAGTTTGGAGTTCTGTGAGATGTTGCAGTGAATTGCTGAACTCAGACAGGAGAGGGAAGAGTGCCAAGGCGGGGGAGAGTGGCTGGTGTCGAGATGGAATGGTACAGTGATACACTTGACCTCTGCCTCATAGGAATTGGCTTTGTGCTGATTCTTGTATTTGAAGTTCTTTTTCAGAATATTTTTCACAGATGTCTGATTGTTTCCTGTGCTAAACATTTTTGGCAGGAAGACTATGTATGTGATGTGTCCCTCTCAGTGCATCAGATCAGGGGACATATGATATGAATTTGTCCTTTGATTGATGATGTTAAGTTTGATTGTTCACTTAAGGTGGTGTCTATCAGATTTCTCCATTTTTTCTTTTGTAATTAATAAGTAACTTGTGAAATGAAGTTTGAATTGTAAATATCCTGTTCTCCCATATCTTTCTCTCAGTGGTTTTAATACCCATTGATGATTCTCTCCACAATCAAATATTAATATAAAACCAAA